AAATTGTCGATGCAGCCATCACCACAGTAATTTCGATTTTGGAGTCTAGTGACCTGTGTGTGTATGTGTGTGTGTATGTGTGGCGTAAGGCGGCATAAATGTAATGTCTTTTGTCCTACTGTTGGTATTTCAAGCAGAGGTGAATAGATCTCAGGGGACTGTTTGGACGGACACATCTCGATGTCTGTTGACCTCACTTCAGTGCAGTCACTTCAGTGATCACAGGTTAAGGTTTTTTTTTTATCTGATGTTAATTTATGTGAATCTCCAAAATCCCTCCTGACCTGCAGATTATCCAGAAATCAAGTGACATGCGATCTTTACACCTGAGACAATGTTTATGGGGTAAAATAATGTAGAACACTGAAGGCTAAAATAAAATGGTCAATGACATTTGAATCAGTGCATAAAATGATTAAAGCACAAGTCTGGAGATATTCTGTATTTCTCTTATTTTCAACAAAACCCATGAAATGACACAAACCAACAATGAATGAATGTAACAAGTACTGTGTGTGAATCAAAGCCTGATATCTATTCTTCCTCTGTGCCATAGAGCTCTATTGTTGTTCCAAAAACTGTTAAAACACATCAATGAGCCACACTGTTGCACTGGTGACATGTTCCTTCATTACCATGAACACACACACTCATGGCTGTACCCCCCCCCCCCCCCCCCATTGAGGTCACTGAGGTCTGGATCTCAGTATTTTTTGTGTATATAACAAAGGTTGTGAAATAACTGAATAAAAAATAACTTCGCTTTGGTGCAATTGACCTTTTGTGTACAGGTTCACTAAGACACCCAAAATAAAAAATCAAAGCTCAGCTTTGGGAAGGGAGGATATAAGGGGACAAGAGAGGAAAAGAAAGAGAGGGTCATGGACATGAGAGAGGAAGAGCAGACTGCCCACTGTGACTGACAGGATTAGCAGTGTGTCCCTGTGCTGCTCACCACAAACAAAAACTGTCCGGATCCAATTCAAACAATGTAGTTACCAGAGAGATATATATGTTCTTTGGTAAATAAAGAGGAACCTTTAGGCTCAATTTAACAATGCAGACACCTAGCATAATTACAGTGTAATAACATATTATTATTATATGAAAATTGTACAACACAAATTTTTCTTACATTTATGTCCTGTAAGAAACACATTTTTATAATTCAACTCAAAATGATACAAACACAAAGATGAAAAAAAGAAGGTGTATATAATTATACTAACTGACTTTGCAGGAGAGACACGTGAGGAGTCAGAGAGAGAGGGACCGACATGTAAAACAGAGCGTGACAGACAGCAAACAATAGATGGTGTGTGTAGTGTGAATTTCCCTTTACACGAACTCTTTAGTTAAACATTGACAGCATTTGTTTCATGTATCATTTTAGCCTTTTAGTTTGTAGGCTGTAAAATTTAACCTGATTCTCAAGCTACAGCCCGCTGACATGGTTTTAAAGCTGTTGTTAACCAATTTCCGCTCTCCAGGCATCTTAAAACGCACTTATTTAGATCAGGGAAATCAAAGTTTTTATTTGCAACTGAACCTCTAAAGGGACTTCAGTTTTTGGACTTTGATCTTTCTGTGTAGTTTATTTTGACTCAGTTCCACATTCCCCAAATACTCACTGAAATGTAGATTAATCCTCAGCTGAAAATAGTCCCAGCAAATATACTTTCCCACTTGATTGAGTAAAATCTGATAAACTACAGGGACAGGGTTTTAGGAAGTGTCCGAGCCTTTAGTAAAAATTAAACTTTATATTTGTGACCTGTTGCAAAAGATTTACAACTTCACTAGGAACCAGTGGGTTTAGAGCTGAGAGCCACAGACAGGGTGGGGAAGACTCTGCTTTTCTTATCAGCAATGATTGATTGACTACTGTAGGATCAGTAGCTGATTGATTGCTTAAGACCTCTTCAACTGTGTTCAGTGTGATCTCATTATAGCCAGTTGAATCCTATTTGGTGAAATTAAGATCCACTCCAGCTCACGCTAATGCTACACTACTTGCAGGTTAACTCAAGACTTCATAGATGACTCTATAGAGGGAGATGTAGCCCACTTAGATACACTATGCAATGGAAACTGACGCGTCTAGTGGAATGTATAGTAAGATGAATTCCAGTTGTTGTGTGTGTTGATGTATTTTATGTATAATACATCTGTGAATTCAAATATTTATAAATATAAAACTATAACACAGTCACAGCACTTTGGTTTAAGCATACTTCCAGGGTAAATTCAAATTCTCTCATTCACAGCAAAACACAGTGCATTCTGTTGAGTAGTCAGATGGGTCAGTCACACGGGGTGGCCTGGTGGCTGCAGAAAGCCTCAGTCATCCCAGTAGTAGTATAACTGGTTGTAAAACTGCTGGGACAACTGGGAAGGAAGTAGGTATAGTTGTTGCTTCCAGGTGTTACAGCCCCAAGAGACTGCAGATTCACAAACAGACGGATCCTGCTTTCACATGCTGACCGCCTGAGAATGTTTGACATTCCAACTGTGCATCCTTTTAGGGTTGGGAAAGTCTGAGGGGGAATGAGTGCCCTATTGTTGGTGGTTAATTACACAGATCAGGGCTCGTCAACTCCAGATTCTGTTCAGCTCCAAGTTCCAGCTCTGTTAACATCTCATAGTGTGTTTGGAGTATACCCCCACTGGCCACTTTATTAGGTACAATTGATCAATTGTTTGTTAACACCAATAGCTCATCAGCCAATCACATGGCAGCAACTCAATCCATTTAGGCATGTAGACGAGGTCAAGACAACTTGCTGATGTTCAAAGCGAGCATCAGAAAGGGGATTTAAGTGCCAGACGGGCTGCTCTGAGTATTTCAGAAACTGCTGATCTACTGGGATTTTCACGCACAACCATCTCTAGGGTTTACAGAGAATTGTCCAAAAAAGAGAAAATATCCAGTGAGCGGCAGTTGTGTGGATGAAAAAACCTTGTTGATGTCAGAGGTCAGAGGAAAATGGGCAGACTGGTTCCAAATGACAGACAGGCAACAGTAAGTAAAATAACCACTTGTTACAACCAAGGTATGCAGAATACCATCTCTGAATGCACAACACATTAACCTTGTAGCAGATGGGCTACAGCGGCAGAAGACCACACCGGGTGCCACTCCTGCCAGCTAAGAACAGGAAACTGAGGGTTCAGTTCACACCACCAAAACTGGACAACAGAAGATTGGAAAAACGTTGCCTGGTCTGAGTCCTGATTTCATCTGCAACATTCAGATAGTAGGGTCAGAATTTGGCGTAAACAACATGAAAGCATGATCCATCCTGCCTTATATCAACGGTTCAGGCTGCTGGTGGTGGTGTTATGGTGAGGGGGATATTTTCTTGCCACACTTTGGGCCCCTTAGTACCAACTGAGCATCGTTCAAATGCGACAGCCTACATGAGTATTGTTGCTGACCATGTCCATCCCTTTATGACCACAGCGTACCATCTTCTGATGACTACTTCCAGCAGGATAATGCGCCATTTCACAAAGCTCAGATCATCTCAAACTGGTTTCCTGAACATGACATTGAGTTCACTGAACTCCAATGGGCTGCACAGTCAGGAGATTCACATCATGGATGTGCAGCTGACAAATCTGCAGCAACTGCATGATCATGGTATCTTAGTTGACTAACATATTTACAGTGCATGTGTAGCTCCTTGAAGTGGCACAGAATCCAGAGATATCGGAGATCACGGGTCATGTATGAAATGATTTCCCTTTCTCTACACCTCCTTTAAATCACCTCTTTAATCTGCAGCCTACCTCCACATTTTCTGGGGATTGATGTAATTATGGGCTTACTGAATTGCTAGTTGTTCTGGGATCACCCTGGGTGGCTGTCATTATGGAGCCTGTACAGTATATTTGTGTGGTATTCATTTTTAAACATTTTTGACCTGAGGAGGATCCGACTGGATTATAAGGTTGTCTACATAAATAAATCATTTTGTGGTTTAGAGTCGGTGTGCAGATGTTACTCTTTTCACTGCCTTCTCAATAAACACTTCTTTTAGCTAAACATATGATTAGTCCATTTAAATATTTAATTTCTGTGTAATTGCACTAAAGTCAGGGCACTTCCACCAGCAGGGAATATAACACCAAGGTATGTGTAACACCTAGGCTAATTTTGAGGAAACCAATGTAAATTCGCAGCAGAGCTTCATCAGAGCCATGACCTTAGACTTTTAAAAGATATGGTGTGGTGGTGTTAACAAATCTGTCTGAAAATACTGAAAAGACTAAAACCAATAATGTATTAATCCACTAAGGTCCACTGTTAAAAACACATCAATGAGTCACACTGTTGCACTGAGTTCCTTCATTACAATGAACACACTAGTTTATTTTGACTCAGTCGCACATACACCGTCCTGCTGCCACAAATACTTACTAGAGAACCAAATGTGGATCAATCCGCAAATGAAAATAGTCCCAACAAATGACATAATGTAACAGGTAAACTACTGTACCCGGCTGTCTTATGTAACTACTGAAACTTTTTAAAGATGAAACTGTATTTGTGACCCGTTATTATAGATTTACATCTTCAGTAGAAACCAATGGACTTGGGGCTGATATGTTGGATGGATCGCTCTTACTAGTAGTATTGCAAGTATCCATTGTTACACAGATCTCTCACTTTACTGATCCTTGTACTTTGTTCCTCAAATCTAAGTCGCTTTGGATAAAAGCATCTGCCAAATGAAAGAAGTAAAGTAAAAAAAGATTACCATATTTTTGACTTGCAGGCATTTACAATAGCTAGACAGTGGCGTGATTACAAAATAATGAAAATCTATCAAAATGCTCTGCACTGACAATATAGCACAAAATGCATTCAATTTAATCACATTTCACAATGGTCATTGACATGAGGCATCCAAGTTTGTTTTTTTAGGCACTTTTCTTTTCCTTCCCACACCTCCACACTTCAGGCAAGGTCGTACAAATGCCAATTCACACACAGAGGTATTTCCAACTTTTATTGAAACAGAACCCTGAAAGTAAACAATTAAAAAAAACATGTTTTCAATCAAGCAAATGGTTTTATTAACATGTACAACCAAGGACTGAAATTTAGGGTCCCATCTGAACACAACAAGATGCAGTTAGTAAAGTCTGTCAGGATGAGAAGCAGAAGACCAGCCAGGCCTGGATTGTTCCAGTTTATCCAGCGAGGCAGCGTTGCATAGAAGAGTGGTGCATGTAAAACAAGTGACCTATTAATCATTAGAGTTTAGTCAAGCACTGTGTTCCTGCACACAGGTACATTATTCCAACACCAAAGGAAACCATCCACAGGCAGCTACATGGGTATGGAAGGGAATATTTTGAGTGAATAAGTAAAATAAAAGAAATCACTAAATCTTCAGAAGAAAAAAACAAAACAAAAAATTAAATAAAAACTTGTTGATCATCTCAGCTCAAGATTATCATCTCCACACCGCACAATCAAATATCCACACATTAATGAGACGAAGTTGAGGAACTGAGGTAAGTTTTTCACAGTTCAATAAATTAACCAAAGTACATCATGGCCTGTGTTTAGCTAAAGATGGGTAAACATCAGCACCGAAGTAAACCCATTTCTCACAATGCATCGGTAAAAACAGAAAGAAACAGCCAGGCCACTGACAGACAACCAATGGCTGTGTTGCTTATTCCAAACCCATGCGATGCGTTTGCAATCCAAGGAAAGCTGCACACACCCAACAAAAACTGTGGTGACATGAAATAAATAGCTGTTGCTTTGAAATCTGACAGGTTTTGTCTCCAACTGTGGTATGTCTACGGTGGAAAAAATGAAACAATGGCTTAGTAAAGAAAAGGTGAAAATGTGCAGAGACATGAGGTAGTACAATCAAATTTAAATAACTCAGGTTCCCAGTTTAGCTCAACATATAAGAAACTTCAGCAAATTCTTCCATTCTGTTTCTGCCCGTCTTCTGACCTTTGGTTCACAGCAAAAATCTCAGTATCCAGCTGTGGTTCACTGTATAATTGTTCCAAAATGCTTCTAAACTTGTTATTTTACATTTCACTTTTGATCACAGGCACAATTACAAGCAATATTTCACCAACACTTACATTACTATTATAATGATTTCTCAACAAGAAACAAATCCACATCACAGTTTAGAACCTATAATGCACGTAAACGTTATGAAATAACTCTGGGGCTTTGCACCTTTAACATGAATGGAACCTGTTTAAACACAAAGTCTTCAGCTCCCTTTGAAACCGTGATTTTACTCAACAAATAAATGGTCCACAGAACAGTTAAATGCAAAAAATAATCAATTCACATCTCATTCCCAATGACCACATAGGCACTTCCTTAGCGCGCATATTACATTTTTCGTTCCCCTTCCATACTTAAATTCTAAAGACTGAAGAAACTAAAACATCCAGACCATATATCCTGAATTATTTATTATTAGTGTCAGATCAAATCAAAGCAGTTTCTCTCGAGCCACATTTAACCTGACAAGCAATTTCAAGGCACCATAGGTATCAAGAATTCAGTAGAAATCAAATTACAAAGTGTAAAAAATAAGTTAAATGACAGGCCAAATAACCTGCTCTGCGCACTGGGGAGTGGAGTGAAATAACATGGGGCATGTGAAAAGCTTACATGTCTCCAGATATAAATTAACATTCATTCTATCACATCTACTTTGGGGAATATTTCTTACTTTTCTACTTTTTTCACTTTAGTTTTCCGAAATGTACTGCTAACGGTGTTTCACTGAAGATGCATATCTGAGCACTAAATGGAGGGACTGTTTGCAACACTGATGTGAACTGATGAAAGGTGGCAGAATAAATAAGTTGCGTGTCAACAATGCCCAACAATACCATAAAAAAAAAATAATAAAAAAATGGTGCAGCAGTTAAATGCCGTGAAATTAAGGGTGGCAGCTTGTGGATGATTTGTTTTGATTTTGTTTCCATTGATCCCCTTTGGACTGTACCGGACAGCAGCTTAAGTGATCTGTCAAAACATGACCACAGTGAGACGGTTTCATTTGGAAAACAAAACCCAGGCTGAAAATATCTGGAATTATCCAGTGGCTAATGGGGTTGGGCGATATGTAAATTTTTGAGACTATAGTAATTTGTCAACCATTATAAATTCGGCTCCATTGTTTATACTAAAGGTAACTATCACTTTTACAGGCAATGCTGTGGTTAAATGAGCATGACTACTTCATCACAGAACCACATTTACAGGATTTTTGCAAGTATTTAAGTCACTGGATTAGCCAGTGTCAACTGAATTCCCAGACAATTTACTGTACCATCTCACACACACACACAAAATTACATATATTGTGACAGTGGATTTTACACGTGACCGACTCCCAAAGACTAACCATGACTTATACCTCGGTGTAAACCAACAGAAGAAATGTAAACCCAACAACAAAAAAGGGAAGGTGACACTCGCTTTTGTCATTACATAAAGCCATACACAAATCTGACGCAGGCAATTATGTTTACTAGATCACTGTTGTAACGACAGGCGATCTACAGGAAATGAACCAACAACAAGACAGTTAAGCACGTGGAATACAATCCTAACGGGCAGCAAAGTAAAACATCTGAATAAGGGGCCGACATATGGAGACGATCACCCCTGTGAACACATATGTATATAAACTAAAGCTGCAGCTTAGCTTTAATTTGGAGTCCATCGCTGCACTCTCCGTGGTGTCCTTTGCACAGTGTCACTATCTCAAGTTCTGTGATGGGAATTTCTCCAGACTTTTATTCTTTGATAGGCATGGCTATGTGAGTTTAAAAGCAAGCTTCCCATTAAGCAGCAGGTGTGATGTTTCTTGCTTTATTATAATATTCTGGGAAAGACAAACGTTCTCTATCAGAATTGGCAGATACTTTCACTCTAAACAAGTAAAACAAAAACAAACAAAAACAACAACAAAAAAATCTCCATTCCAGTATCCAACCTTCTGGATGTTCCATTGCATCTCTTTTACCTTTACATTCTTCAGTTTAAAACAGGGAGAGCCTCAATGATTTAGCAGCTCCAGGCTGAAACATGTACCTGCAGAGAAACAGAAGACAAATACTCATTTAAAGTGTTTAAAAAGACACACCCAAAGAATATGCCATTGTTTTTTTATGCTTTTCCCGCAGGTCCTCTTCAATTTTTGAGAAATGTTTATTTCACTGAAAAAAAAATATAATATATATAATATTTTTTATAGAAGGAATTAATATTGAGAATAAGTCGTGCAGTGACAAATGTAAGAAATGTTTTGGACTATACCATATTCTACTATTCTTAACAAATGACCTTTAAGGTTTTGCATCGTATTTACCCTGCCAAAGAAGTGTTGCAAAGATTTAAACTTAACATTGATTATAACTGTGATTTTTGCAATTTAGAAAGAGAAACTATATTTCATCTTTTTTTTTTTTTTTTTTTTTTTTTTTAACCACTGTGAACATACAAATGTATTCTGGAAAGATCTGGAACATTTTACAGAAAAACAGGTAAGAGTATACTAATTAAGGTATTTGATGTCATGCTATATTTTGTACTTCATGGTCCAGACAAAATAAGGATTATTATTAATATTAACTATGTTCTCATCATACAATTCCATATCCACAAATCAAAATGGACTGGATCCAAACCCTGCTTCAATCGATTTACAGTTGAACTGTAAACTAAGCATGTTGTCTAATTACCTGTATAACCTGATTTCTCTGAGTAACCTGGTTTCCTGTGTGCATGTAAACATCCTGAATGTTGTCTGTATCAATAACTAACAACCTGGTTGTGCTGAGAAGCGTTTGGTTCAGAGTGAAACATCAGGTCAAGGTATATATCAAATCAGCTGTAGGGATTGTCATACAATGTATTAAATACTGCCCTAATAATAATAATGCCCTGAAACAATTGTTTAATTCAGTTGAACTGATGAGTCATTTGACACAAATTTGATCTGCAACTATTTTGATACTTGTTAAATCGTTTAAAAAGGGGCTATATGTAGTTTTTATTAAAATAACTTTTCAATTAATACATTTTTTATTGCCTATTTGTGAACGCGTTGTATCCTCACATAAAAATGAACCACACGCCTGCTTTCTCAGTCCCTTGGATCAGCCACTGTGCTGTGTACTATGTGAAGAAAATCAGGTCAGGTTTTCTGCATGCGTGGTCCCGAGCTATCTTGCCTACTGATTCTAAACTCTAGCGAAGTAGCCACACAACATGGCGACACAACACAGCTAACGAAATGGAGTCTGCAAAAACCAAAAAAAGACCGGCTCCCAGCACAACAGACTCCAACGCAGACTCCACATAAGGAGAAAAGCAATAAAAAAAGTTTTATGTGCTGAAGCCCGTCACATCAAACGAGAATCAGATCGATATCGGGTGCCAACACGGTCAACATCCGAAAGGTATTTGAGTCACGGAGAGACCTCTGCTTTGTTTTGCATATAAAAAAAAAAAATCGACCCAGAATTGGCTTTCATCCTGTTGGATAGGTAAACTAACATTACTGCAAAGTTTAGTTGGCTAAAATTAGATGTTGTTAGCTTGACGGCTAACGCTGACCAGTTACTAACGTTGTCTGCTGCAAAATACTATAGTTGTAATGTTATTGCTTGCCACATTACTTCACCAGCTAATGTGACACACATTACCATCCTGTGTACCACCGGTATTATGTCGAAGTGTTGGTACAAAGCAAATAACCCACATAATATAATGCAACATAATGGTGCAGGACAACAACACAGGTGAAGACCCAAGGGTGGCAACTCTCATTATAATATTCAGTCTAGCTCACTAACCGTTTCATTGTCATCCAATACATTTAGCTGTGTTGACACTGCTGAGCCTCTCTGGTGAGCGCTGTCGTATCATGTTGGCTAAATGCAGTCAACGAAGTATCATGTAACGAGCATGGATTAATTCAACATCAAGACGATAAAAATATTCCTGTAATGTTGCAGTGGGAGTTTACCGAGTCAGTGCAGCAATGTAACACCGCTGCAGCAAATTGTCTCCAAGTCTTTTCAGCGATGCCCACTGCAGAGTGCCCTGCCTGCTGATACACACACGCACGCGCTGCATGTAGAAATACATGGATTCAAAACAGCATCTCAACAGATGTGTCACAATAAAAAGCAGCAAAGAAGGCATTAATGCAGCATGGAGTGTGAAGTGAAGCCTGAGGTGTGGTAGGACAGGAGGTTTTTACTAAGGTCACAGGCCTGCTCTCAATCACACACACAGGACAGCTGGCACCAGGGCCACAAACACCTCAAATAGCCTGGAAGGTCCCGCTCTCCACTTCACCGGAACACAGCTAATATGTCTGACAGCATGTCGGACTGTAAACCACCGTGTTGAGGATTATCAGCAGCTATTGTGCAGCAGTGAGGAGCTGGAGCCTCTGGGGAAACCTTCAGCACAAACAGGCCTTTGTTAAATCTGACCCGTAGCACCAAGTGAAGGTACTGGTGATGTTTTGAGATGTGCAGCTGCTTGGATAGTCAGTGACAGATCCCGTTTGTGTCCACGTCCTCTGTTACATAACTGACTTACAGAGGCTCAGGGAGGGATTTAGAGATTCATCATGCAGCCCATGGAGACAGGATTTAATGGCCATTGTTGACATGTCAATTTTATGTAGCATCAGAATTTGGTCTGGAATCACGCTCAGCTACATGAATGATAACAGGGCTATTAGCTACTTAAAGGGTAACTTTAGTATGTTTTAACCAGCACCCCATTTTCACACGTTTTTGCATTTAAGTGACTCATGGGAACATCCCTACTGTTATATTACCGAGCGTGCTGCACTTCTCCTGCTCTGCATTTACAACTTCACTCTCCTCCTCTATATTTTCTTGTCACTCTCTTCTTCTGTGGTGGTTGGCAAACCAGTTTAGAGGCACATTATCGCCACCAACTGTCTGAGAATGTGGTAAGCAGTCCTGCTGCCCAAATCAACTTTGTAAATGTACATGTATTGATGTTTTGTTGAGGTTTATTGTTGTTCTTTTCCATGGTTAACATGAGGTTAATATTGTAACGGTACTAATTGATAATAGTAATGTTATGGTCCACACAGTCTCTGCATTCTAACTAACTCCTTTCAACTTGGCCCTGTTATCCGACACAGATCACACACATATTGTAATTTGTCCTTAAACGCAAAATACAAACACTCATTTGTTGGCTGAGAGAGTAGAAACATTCCACCAGGCAGAAAGCAGAGCAGGAAGGTCAACTGGGATCTTTGCAGCTCCTACCCCCGCCCCGCTTTTATAATATGCACTCCTCCCCATCGCCCTACAAGAGCAAGGCACATGACATAAGAGCAAAAAAGGCTAAAGGTATCATTCAAGAGAGTGATTCTGCTAACTCAGTTAAGGAACAAACAAGTCAACATCATACCTGCTAATGAGAACTATGTATGTAGAGGAGGAGCCAGTACATGCTCACTCAGCCTCTTTAAAAGACAGGGATCTGGGGCTTTGGTTGCATAAGAGGAGTCCTAGTTAGCTCCAGCACAACACACACACACACGTATGTTACTATTATGTGCCCTGGGCAAGCAGCTAACAGCAACCCCACCCTCACTCTGAGCCATTCACTTGCACACATTAATACACTCCACAAAACATGTCACAACACTTCACACTGCAAATGATATTTACTGCAACTGACTGACAGCCTAGACGTGATGTCTTTGTGATGACGTCCTGGTTGCCACTTAGGCTACGTTCAGACTGCAGGCTAAAGTGACCCAAATCCCATTTTTTTTGCTCATATGTGAGACTCTGATCTGATCTTTTTATGACAGTGTGAAAAGGATCTTTTCCAGTTCAGATTTGGGCCACTTTCATATGGGGTCCATATCCGATCCAGACCGGATGTTTTTAAATGCACTGTTTTTAAAATTTCAGTCTTGACACTCAGGTCGAAATTGATGCGACTTTGACGTCACTCTAGAGCAGCTGTTGTCACAGTTCTGCTGTAGACGGAGGCGCTGTGAACAAAAAGCTCCACAAAAGCCATTATTAAACATGTGGCGCTCTTCCTCCTCTACCTCGCTATCATCTGCTCCCAAATTCCCCTTTTAAAATATATGTTAAGCTTAAATTTACTGCATCACAATCATATTTAAACTTACAGCGCTGCTTCAGCTAAAGGTGATAGTGTTTCAACTTTAATTCAGTGTCCAGTTTAGTTCTTTGGATCGCTGCAGATTGGACACATCAGGAAAAGTCTCTCAACTGCAATGTGAATAGTGCTCTACGGTCACTGTGACCCACATACAATTAGTATTTCCACATTAAATTGGAGATGCAGTCATTTATAACAAGGGAGATAGCGGGACAGACAAACAGACAGCACATTAAAAAGGTCAAAGAAGTCATGAGGAGATTACATGAAAAGGTATAAGTACCTGTATAACAATCTGGTTGAGAGTCATGTAGCACACGTAACCCGGTCCATTCTGGCCTGCAGCTCAAAAGCATCAGGCCGGTCCTGAGGGTTGACAGCGAGCATGTCACGCAGCAGCTTCCTCACTCCATCAGACATGCATGACCTGCGTTTCTGTGGGATGTTCAGTACCATCTTTGGGTTCTCTAGCAGTGCCTCACCCACCGGCACAATGTCTGCTCCTTGTCTCACATATGTACCCAGCAGCTCCCGCTTAGATTCAGAGTCAATGAAAGTAATTCTCTCCACCATGGCCCAGATGATGATGCCTAAGGCAAATATGTCAGCCTTGGCTGTGTAGTGGCCCTCCCACACCTCGGGAGCCATAAAGAAGTCTGAGCCGCAAGCCGATGACAACCAAAACTTGTTGACGTTGACGTGTTTGTTCTTGTCGTCGCCTTCTTTGCCTTCGCAGGAGTTTCCTAAACCAGCGCATACTTTACTCAGGCCAAAGTCGGCCACCTTAAGAACTGGAGCCCCTGACTTCTCCGAGATGAGGATGTTGTCAGGTTTGAGGTCCCTGTGGACAATGTTGTTTTCATGCAGGAAAGCGACAGCACTGGTCAGCTGGAGCATAAAGCTATTGTTGGTTTCCGGGTCAGGCCGCCGGGACAGGATGAACTGATTGAGGTCACCACCTTCACAGAACTCCATGACGAACCACAAGTAACAAGGCTCTTCTTGAGGACCAAGCACTCTCTCACCTGCAACAAACACACACTGGTCATTCATAGTGATGAAACGGTAAACACTACTTCATGTAATTACATGTGCAAAGAAAAAAAAGATTTGTTAAAACCATAACATATCTTGATAATCAAAGATTTGGACTTGTCAGAAAATAGGGTGAGCACGCTGGTGTCGCCTTACAGCAAGAAGGGTCTGGATTTGAATCTTCTGTGTGGCGTGTATGTTCTCCCTGTACCCGCATGGGTTTTCTTCAGGACAGTTTCCTCCCACAGTCCAAAGACAGACAAGTCAGGTTAATTGCTGACTCTAAATTGTAAGTCTGCCCTGTGATAGACCGCCGCCGTGGCATTGGTGTCACATCGTCTCTTGCCCGATGCATTTCAAGAACTGAATACGAAATCTGCCTTTCGATAACAGTCTGAAATTACAATTTCCCAAAGGCGCTGTGAATTTGCACTCTTAACTATCTGACTCCACTATCATCTCATTGGCAGTGTCCTGCCTTTCTTCTTCAGGGTGTTTCCCATTATGTGTGGTTGGTATTTATCTGAATTTCAACAGGCTTAGACTTCGTGAAACCAGTTCAGGGCATCTCTAACAAGCTTTGGCATGTATTTTAGACTTTCAGGAAGAACAATGTGTCAAACTGCCTGCTAAAAACATCTTCATGTAGGAACCACTGTACACGAAAACACAGAGGTATCCACTGTTCATAGACCTCCTACTTATGTTGCTTATTTGTAAGTCAAAAGTGCAATGACTGTCAAAGGGATGAACGAAATACTTCTGTGAATACAGACAACACAGCAGACTCCATTTTAGTGAGTCTGAGCCTCGGGAGCTCCCTCACCAAATCTACCCATCCCCCAGCGAGTCTGTCATGGTACAACAACAATTCTACCACAAAAGGTAATTTCCTAACACAAAGTTAACCCTACAAACTAAACCTTACAAGCATAATACTTTATTCGTGTGGCCCACTGAAACCTAGCTACAGGCTAACACATCACATGACACGACAAAAAGCAAAACCACCCAGATCAAACATCCTCCTCGAGGTTAGCTCAATCAAATTACCAGTGTGATGTAACTGACGTCCACCAAAACTGTTAACTAACCCTAATGATCAATTAATTATTATATTCTAAGATCCCAGCATGTCCAGTAAACCAGTGTCTAAATCTGAGGAACTAACGTTACCTCCAGTTTTGTTTCAAAAGTCTAAACTACGACCATTAAAAAAATCTTGCTATTTAAAATTACGTTGGATATTTAGGGGGACCATCAAAAGTCATTGCTACAACACAACAGTTTCTGAATTCTTAGAGGCTGCTTTTCAATTCGGGAATGATTTAAAGCCAAAAAGCAGCCCATAGTTCCCTCTAATCTCAAAGTCTGATAACGTGACTCAGCTCAAACAGCTAACAGTTAACGTTGGAGAGCTACCGTTAAAAAGCCTCACCTTTTAGTGAAGTCTCCACGAGACGCAGGTACTGTTTGGACCGTTTGTTCCCATGACTCATTTTCTGGGCCATGCCATTCCTCTGCAGCACACACTCTTCCAGCTGGACCACATTTTGATGCCGTTTCTCCAGACTTGCTAGCGCCCAGAACTCCTGCAAGGCGAGCTCCACGTTTTCCGGCGCGTCGCAGCGCAGTTTCTTCACGGCAACTTTAGCACCAGACCTCCGGGCCACCGCCTCGTACACCACGCCGTATGTGCCCCTTCCCACCTCCCGCAGCAGGCTGTAGCGGGGCGCCATGATCCTCCGCTCCAGGTTATCCTGCTTGAAGAGACCAGTGTCCTCCCCCATGTCATTGTCCTTTCCCGTGTTTCCCACGCTAAGACACCGCAGCACTTTCGCCTCGTCGGCTCGTGCTCTGGCTTGTTGTCTGCAGGAGGCTCGCGCGCTCCTCGTGCGTCTCCGCCTGTCGTCCTCGCCAACTGTATCCATACGTCCACGTGAATCCATCACGATTCAAATAGTAAAGAGAAAAATGTCCACATGTTGTCAACGACAGCAGTGTCTGTGTGACCCATTGGCGTCCTTTATTTGAATGGAGATAACAGGAAAGAAACAGGCTCATCAAAGTTAAAGAGGGGAGGAGGGTAAACTGGAAACACAAGTAAACGTCGCTGCAATATATAAGAGGGTTTCCGGTCAGGCTTCAAAATAAAACCGATAATGTTAAATGCGTTTCTAGTTGGTTGGTTCATCTGGGCAGAGACGGTAAGATTTTATTGATCTAGTAAGTTGTGTGTCACGCTACACGTTAAGCAGCCTTTCTGTTTCTGCACTGCTCGATCCTGTGACATTTAAGCCCACTGTACGGATCAATAGCCCACACTAAACGTAGCACGGAACCCACGGTCGGTTATGTTCCATAGACTGTATATAAAAAGTTATGTTCATTGACAATTACAATAACGTTTATTTAAACAAAATGTTTGCGTCCTCAATGAAAAGACACAGAAAAGGCAGCATTACGTAATACAGCCTATAATGTTTTACATTATGAGCGGGTAGTAGGAAGAAAACAAGAGCAGGTTACTGTGGAGCTGCCGATGTCTAGAAGACGCAGACAACATCGGATTTAAATCACAGTAGTATCAGCAATGTAGCTTTAGCCTTAATCTGTATAATTCTTCTTCTTCTTCTTCCGGCTTTCCGGCAGACTAGATGCCTTACGGATATTGCTGCCTCTCACAGTTCAGTCTCAGTATCGTTTTATGGCATCACCATTCTCAGAGGGGTAATCCTGTTGCAGATATAAAGTTCATGACTGCTTCCACAATGTCTCTCAATGTCACTGTCTGTCTTCCAGCTCCTGATAGCGCAGAGTAAAGTTGATCTCTTTGCCTTTTGTACTGTTGACATTCCATAAACACATGTTTAACAGTCTGTTGTTGATTGCAGGTTCTACAGAGTCCATCCTCATGTTTGCCCATCTTTGCCAGATCCCATGCAAGTCCACAGTGTCCCAGTCTCAGTCTTGTCATGATTACAGAATGTCTTCTGGTTTTACCCAAGTAACACTGCTCTGTCTTACCATTGCCCTGTAGATCATTAGTTGAGTATCTCTGCCTGCACCCCATGTGCTACCCGAGAGGGAACGCATTACATTTATCACTTTTTCACACTTATTTACTACATTATTTATCTGCTTTCTCCATGTTAGCTTCTCATCAAAGTGCACACCCAAGAATTTGAACTATTTTACCCTTTCAATTGCTTGTTCATACAAAAATAAACCACCACATTCAGTTTTCTTATTACCAAATATTATGTACTTTGACTTATCTACTGAGATCTTACCACTTTTCACCCCAACTAGCCACCTTGTTCAGTGCTACCTGCATTCGCTCAGTTATTTGTTTGATATTCCCGCCCCTTTTCCAGATGGCCCCATCATCTGCAAACAGAGACTGTCCAAAATTATTCCCAATTCCTTCAAATATATTATTTATCATAATGTTGAAAAGGACTGGACTTATTGCACTTACCTGAGGTGTTCCATTATCAATACCTGTGCCATCTGAAAATGTATTTGCAATCCTAACTTGAATGCTCCTGTTCTTCAAGAAATCTTGTATCCAGTTAAGCATCTGCCCTCTGACTCCAGACTCATAAAGTTTAATAACAAGCCACTCCTTCCACAGCATGTCATACGCCTTTTCAATATCAAGAAAAACCGGCATTAATATTACAAAGTGGCTTCTTAATGATCTCATAGCTAATACCACCCTTCCCTGGAGCTGTTTTCCTCCCTTTTCCAATTGCACTGTGTAGTTAACAGTAGTAACAAAAAAAATTAATTACACACATCAGAATTATCATGATTTACCTCAAGTTTGTCCCGATTTTGCTCTAATATTTCATTTCTTTGTATAATTTCATTTCTTCACCTGTGAACACATAGCTTTGCTTTATCCAAATCACTTGTAGCAAACAAGCCCTCCTCCTCTAAAACTGGCATTTTCCTTTTTCTATTGCTTCCTGACATACGGTGTACTGCCCGCCATATATCTCATACTGCTGTCTCTGCCCCTAATTTTCCACAGTATCTTCTCCAGCACTCCTTTTTTGCAGTCTTAATCACTCTGCGTGCTTTGGCCGCAGTCTTTTATACTCTACTGCTTTATCTTCCGTTGGACATTTTCTCAATGCTCTATACCCAGGATTTCTGTCTCTTACTGCTTTATCACAGTCCTTGCTCCAAAATGGTACCCTAATTTTCCTTTTGGAGGTCTTCTTTATCGGGATAGATTCATTTGCACTTCTCATAATCATTTCACATAAACTGCTGTTCCATTCCTCTACTGTCGCTTCCCCATTTACTTCTTCTAAATTTTTATTGCACCTTTCAGAAATAAATGGCCAATCTGCCTTACTATAATTAAAGAATTTTTGGTTGCCCTGTTCTTCACTCAGTAGTCTTCCCAAACCTCAATAGTAATGGATAATTATCACTTCCTATTATGCTAATGCTAAGTCTATGTGTGAAACATTTCCTGTTCTAATATCAAATCTAGTTGGCCTGCCATCATTTAAACAAACTAATCTCCACCTGTCCATAAATTCCTCTATAGTGGTCCCATTAGTATCCTTTATTCTACTACCCCAAAGAGGGTTGTGAGAGTTAAAAGTCCCTATTTGTTCCATAACCCTCTCCAACTCACTTAAATTTATTTGTAAGCACGGATTATAAACGTTTGCTATGTTAATCCACCTGTGCTGTCCCCAAACCCTTACTATAACACATTCTAGATTAGGCTTCATTTCTACTTTCTGGTACTGTACATCTGATCTTATAAATGTTGCACACCCTCCCCCAGATTTTCCGTTTCTACCATAACTGACACTTTCATATCCAGGAATCACAAAATCTAAACATGGTTTAAGCCAGGTTTCCTGAATACATATCACTTGTGGTCTTTAAATTCATCATGAATGCCATGATTATCCCGCATTTTACATATTGTTTGACAAGCTGGGCACAAGCTAACAAATCCACAATGAAGCCACTTGAAATTCTCTATAAACATACTATCAAAGTTTAAGATTCGAAACCTAATAGTTTTCACACCTGTCAAATCTTAGATACCCACAGGCTTTTGAGTTGGGAAAACTTGATCAATTATAGTAACCTCTGTCTAGTTTATAAGATATTGCACAGCACTGCCACACCTCCACTGAAGAGATTTGTTATGCAGAGTGCAGGCACTCGTGTGACCGGAGGTATCACAAGAGGGGATTGTATCATTTCCACTCAAAGAAGTGCTTTTTGTCAGTCAGCGTTCTTTGTAACAGCATCTAAACAATGGAATCTATTGCCAATGCTGATAAGAGAGGCAAATATTCTGTATATATTGTTATTACTTGTGGACTGTAATAAGTAATTTTATGTAATTTTAAATCTTTATTTTAGGTTGCCCTCATAATAACTGGCCAGGGACAACAGATTAGCCTGTTGAGCTAACTCTGGCTCATTTACAGTTATTTTACTGTTAATTAATAAGCACTGTCCCTGTCAAATAAACAAATAAATGAAATGAAATGAAATCTACAAATCTCTTCAATTCCTGCCCATTAGGCACTAAACTCTGTGCATTCCATTGTAAAATCTCTCTGCAGCATCCACCACCACTTTGATAACGTCAGATCTTGACTGGTCTCTAACTGCCCACGGAAGGTGCACCAGCTGCCATTTGCCTGGAAAGTTCCCCCGTTCATCTCACTTTCTTCAGGGCCTCTGCATATGACATAGTATCCCTCAGCGCATTAAAAAGTGTAGTTATATAAACATGGTCCAGGATATTACTGTGAACCGTACCTGTCAACATTGAGTTTTGAATATAAGGGAATCCTTGTGCAAGAAGCACAGTCTACATTTGTCTCTAATATATTAATGTTAAGTACTAACTTGTCAAGAATTATAGCCATTAATGCAGAAGAATAACTGTAGGTTGCAGTCTTAACTCGCATAATGTAAATACATTTTTTTTGAGTGAAATACTCTGTAGATGTAATACATCATCCAACCTGAAACCCCTGAGCTGCACTTCTTCTTCTGGTCACTGTTACAGCTCTTGTTCTACATACTGTCAACCGCTTTACCGGAGGGGAGCAACATTTCAAATATGCTCAGTGTGCAAGTCACCTGGTAGCCTACACTAAAAACCTCATTTGGTTGTTTTGTCATGTGACAATGTAAATTTTATTTAGGCCTAAATAGCGCCAATTCAGAACAAAGTTATCTCATCGCACTGTTCATTTAGAGCAGGTCTAGACCTGACTCTTTGTAATATTTTTACAATACAGTGATATTTTTTATAGTAACAGTTCCCATCATGAGCAAGCACATGGCGACACAGGCAAGGAAAAAGGAAGGCAAGATGAGAGGAGGTGGACTGTTTGAAGATGAAACTTTCATATCATCATCTGGTTGCTGCTGTTTACGTTCACCCCAGATACAAATTCTTAAAATGCAGTGGAATGATTGGGTGTATACGTGTCTGTATATATGTATTAGGGCTGACCCCCAATAGTCGAAGATTCAATGCTTTGATGGGCGGAGCCTGATTCGACTGTCAATCTCACAGTCGAAGCTTCGCAGTGAAACAGGCATCACGCCATTTTGGCGATATGGGGGTGCTCAACGTCTGATTTTACAGAGAACTACCAGTTTTCTCCCAATAAGTTAATATACAGCCTATTACAATATACATTTCAAAATTTAATGCTGTAAATAAACATGAAAAGAATAAAACTTTCAATAAATGTTTTTAAAGTGCGTGAATAAATCCCAAATTGTAACCCTAACCCTGGGGCGTCTGTGCGCATGTGTACGTGTAGCGTGTGTGTCATGGAAGAGGAACACTTGCTGAATAGACGGAGCCCCGGCTTCACTGGTGTTGTGCCGAGTTGTCCGCACCTCGCGGGACTTTCGGATAATTTATCACCGTTGATGAACCACACAAAAAATATTTTATCGTTTTTAAATAGCCGGCTACTTGAAATAGACCCGCGAAGAACGTGCATGCAGTTGTCAGCAGCACGCAAAACTCACACAAGACTGGTGAATGGTAGGCGAGAGAGATAGAGAGAGAAAAGGGTCTTCAAAAAGTCTCAGTTTAGCTGAAAATTTACAGTGTAAGTTGAATGAAGAGACTGCCGCTCTGTAACTTGTCAAGATTAAAGCAGAGCTACCGTGTCTAACCCCCCCTGCTGTATAATGACTTATAAACATTGTACCTTGAAAACTCCCTTTCAAAAGGCCTTGAGCAGAACCATGACTACCGGTTGGGGTTGAGAGAGACACAATATCCACACAGAAAATACAAACCGTAAAAGTATTACAGAAAATGATTAATGGATAGATAAATTATAATAAGCATATAAAGAGCAGCAACAAAAACACTTTGAACTCTCTGGGTAGATTATGTGGATGTGTCACCGTCTGGCTCAAGGGAATGACAGAGAGGCAAAACATGACTTTTAACTGGTAGCATGTTTGTTATGCTCTCGCTCAACCCAGTAAAATTTGCTGTTAAGTTTTGCTAGCTACCATGCGCTAGACAAGCAGCCAGCGATGGCTTCTCTCTCTCCCTCACTCTCCTGCTCTTGCTCAGTGTGTTAGTGTTACGACCCCCTGTTGGTCTAGGGGTGTTGTGGCCATAAACATATAGGCACAACTGGTAGATCTTAACAAGGTAACGTTTATTGGTAACAGAAGAGATGTAGACAGGTAACAAAAAAACAAAAGGAGGGTGGACGAGGGTGCTGCGAAAATACAAAACCAAGTTAAAATAAAAAGGTCCTCAAAAGGAGGCCTGTACCTATCTATCGTTTTAAGCAGGGTTGAGTCTTACTACAAAAGAACACAAAGAGCACAGCACCCACTCCACCTGGTGAAAACTAACACAATAGTAAACAAAACAACAAATGAATTTCTCCACTGCACTCAAATGTGGAGCTAACATACAAAGGTATGCAAATGTTTACCTAAACACAATGTACAGCTAATAGGCAAGGAAGGTGGATAGTTCCACTAAACACAAAGTACAACAGACAGGCTATGCAGTCAATACCAGCGGCACACAAGTCAACAGGCGGTGACAAGCTGCCAGGAGCAACAGGTGGACTCTCCTTATGAGCCGGAGGTAATTAACGTGGTGACGAGCCATTGGTTGAGTGGAAAACAGAGGGAACCAATGGGCGGTACAGATGTCAGCACCCCAGAAACCAGGAAGTAGGCGGGTCTTCATTCCCCAGGGACACAGCCTACTTGGTAGAGGTGAGACAGGGAAAAGGGGAAACACAAGGGTGACAGCGACAGCCGTGACAGTTAGATGTTTAGCTTTTCTCCTGCCTACTTTAGTGATTATGGTACATGTAATAAATGTTGTTTATTTCTTACGTTAGAGTTGAGGCTTAGTAAATTGTAAACGTGCCTCTACACCATGGAAACTCAATCGTTACTTGACGTTGTTAGACGGCCCCCAGTTACTAAAATGAATGTTGTGTGTGTGTACAGGGTAGATTTATTTGTGACAATACAACAGGTTGTGAAGTGAAATTGAGTTTGTAACTCCCTTCTGCTATGTAGCAGACAATACACAGCAATATAAAAGCAATTATAATAATGGTAAATAAACTATTTCAGTGGAGTGGTGCTGAATTTGAGTTTAAAAGTCATATGGTACATAAGACAATGTTGGACCGGTAGTTTTCTCTGGGCCCCTGCCAAATCTGACCTGGTTATTGAGGTGGTGTCCAGTAAATGATGTCTGCTTTGCAGATAATTGGGAGACTGTGGATGACCTCTGATTAGGAGAGATGGCATTCATCCCACTTTGGTCAGAAATTTTAATGACATAGTTTCAAGGTTGCTTGCCTACAAGTACTGAATTCATTATTAAAACACACCCTTATCCTGCTATAACATGTCTAAATGGAAAATGTCTGATGTGTGTTAATTATTTTTTTGACGCAATTATTTTGTGTACGCACACCATTGGTGGAAGTCTGCTTTAAGCAAAACAGGTGTGTATCTAAGGAAATAAGCAAATCTGTTTCAATTCCAGAACCATTGTGTATTTATTTCTTTTTGTGTATTTTTTTCAATACTTTTTTTTAATTAATATTTTCCAAAAACAATCATTTTCAATGCATTTGTATTTTGTGTATAGAACAAAAGAAAAAAGGTCCAAGTATGTGCATGGCAACATATATACACATACATACATCTACACACACACAAGCCTAAACACACGCATATATTCACTGCACTTAATGACACAATATTATTGTATAAAACGAACATAACATGGTCTTCATCACTTTTTGATTGAAAATTGCTATCCCAGATATTCAATTTAAAAGGGTCAAGAAAAAAATAAACCATGAATAAATCAACTGTTATATTTTTGTATGTGTGCATACATTTACTAAAATCACTGAATGTAGAGAGAACATTTAAAAATATCACAAATAATAACATAAGAGATCAAACAAAAATTCCAGACTAGGCTCACCAACTGGCGAGGCAGTTTATGGGTTAAGGTGAGCTGTCTGGCAATGAAAACAATGCTGACCTGACATCAGTTAACAGGGACAAAGCGTCACTCGAGTTGATTTCATACAGTGATAATTCTCTGTATTTCAATAAAAATAAAATGATAATGAAACAATCCAAACAGCAAGAGCTAACCTGTGTTTTCTGTTAGCTGTCCACAGTTAAGATTAGCACTGTGTTAGGAGTTAGAGTTAGTTAGCCTGCAACATTTCTCAAATACAATATTTTAAATGATATACAAAATACAACTTAACATTTAACAAAAATGAAAAAAAAAAACGGACTATTCAGTATTTGAACCTGAAGATTTAGAATTTAAATGAGCACATCTAATCATAAAATTCTAGATACAGTTGAAATAGAAGTTATAATTACTTAGTCATATTTACAGATACATACATATTAAAAGGTATAAAAAGTAAATCAGAACACAACTTTGTCAAAAACAGAATATCAAAACCCAAAATCTGGACCAAACTTTAAAAAAAGAATGCATAAAAAGTTACTCCATAGGCATGTAAAAAACTACAAATATATATGTATTTCATGAAGTCGTGCTGTAAGTGTAGGAACTCTGATCTTCAGCTTGTAGCAATCAAGTCTCTTAAAAAGGATAGAAGAGATCAGCTATGTGGCACTACACACTGAAATCTTATCTGCATCTGTCACTGCATTGTGGAGCTTGTAGTGGTCCAGGAGTTTTTTCCAAGTTCTGCTGCAGCTGAGCAACTCTTGGTTCCCTTTGAAAGGACAGTGACATTTGAGTTAAAGTTGTGTAGAAGATTTGGGCCTTAAGCGAAGGTAGAAATAAGGCATGAGCTGCAGTGTCTTACCAATGATGCACAGTCCCTCCTTGGCCCTGGTGATCCCCACATTTATCTGGTTGGGATCACCGACAAAGCCCAGATGTTTGGACAGCCAAGCTCTTTCTGGTTCAGGCTCAATCTCTTCACTTGGCAGAGAGCACACTGTAGATATAATGACGTAACGCCATTCACTTCCTAGGAGACAAAATGTTGCGTGTCACATGATGAGCCATCGCTAAACAACAAAGTTTTTCTTACATGTCTAGAAAAAAAATGTCTATTTTATCAAAAAATTATGATGATTTTACATTTAAAATGTGATATATGGTCGTTATATATGACACACTGTTGATTTAAACTACATAGCAGGACAGGAAATAGTTCCTGCTAGGTGCACAGCACCACTGGGACAAGCTACAACATTAAAATACTGGTTACATGTTAATACATTTAATACTTTGAGAAGAGCAATTCTTCAGAATTAGTAGTTTGTTTCCATTGTGGTGTAGCTACTTTAATTTCAGTAAATGATTTGTCATTAGGTAGCAGAGAGGTGCATAGTCACCTTGGCTTTTAGTGATTGTGGTAACAGTGATTTGATTCATTTTCTTCTTCTTCAGCTCCTCTCTGATTTCTGATACTTGGGCATTATAGGGCGACAGAATCACAATACTTTGCTGTTCAATTTTGGCAGTCTTCACAAGCTCTACAGCAATGTCAATCTGCAAAAGAACCCAACCAAAACCAGTGATTAAGAGCAATAATAAATTATGTCACTGAGTCATATCTATAGCAACCTTTACCCTTATATTTTAATATCACTGTTTAAAATCAACAAGGAAATGCAATGGTGCCCAATACAGTAGCCTACCACTTTTTGTCTCTCTTCATGGTTTGCTTTAGAGTTCTCGTTGCCCTTGGCTGTGCTGACAACCAGACTGATGGTTTTTCCTTTGATGTCCCCAAAAACGATTGGCATTGTCTTGTTATCAACACGCAGGACACTGCTCGGCTGCTCCTCCCCAGTTTTCAGCTTTCCCTCATAGAATTCGTTTGATGGGAACTCGCATATTTTCTCATGCTATGAAGGTACATAAGTGATAGTTGTTGATTACAATTTAAAATACTTAACACAGACATGTGCTGATACAATATCGCAACAGTAAGTACATTAAGCTGACGGTATGACTTTCAATACTGTCAAAAATAACTTTCCAATGTATACACTGCTCTTTCTATTAAACGGTTTAAAACCGTCATATACTGTACATACCCCCTGTGAAAAGGCAGGAAGGTATAAAGGTGTGAAGAAATAAATACCGCCCAAGCCTAAAGTACACATTTACATAAATATACAATATAATATGTACTATATATAAAGCACGCTATAAATGTGTATATAGTGTATATGTAATGTTCTCACCATTCTGTACTGGGTGTCAAGCATCACAGCCCTGTTCTCATGAATTGTATAGTAGCGTTCAAACAGAGACTTGGCCATCCCCAGCCTCTTCACACTCTCATTCTTCACAATGGGTCGTAACTGTTTGTGGTCACCGATCAAAACAATCTGAAAGTGATATTGTAAGCCGTTAGAATATTTGATGAATTAGAGTGACTAAAATGAAGTGAGCCTTACTAAGCAATGATGCAAAGAAACAGCAAGACGTAAAAAGACTGAGGCGAGCTTTTTAACTATCAACCAACAGGAAGAATCTCTGTCCAAAATGAAAAGACTTGATCCAATCGTAGACATGAATGTGCCCATTATATTCTGATATTTGGAAAATCTGATTGGGCATGTATGTAATAATTCACTATGGCCAATATTTGCAACAAATTACATGGGAATTTAGCCTGTAGTTTTTGAGGTTTATTGTAATGGACCAAACTGAGGGGAAGATGTTGACCTGACTGTGGGACTAGAGAAATTATTGTGGGTTGGGGGAATGTTACAATTATTATTAGAAATGATGTGAGGATCATTATTTTTTTACAACTTTGCTTGTTCATGATGTCATTGTCACAACTGCCATACTTAGATCCCAGTGTTAAAATAAATAATTACCTGTTTGATTGGAATTAGGCTAATGCAAAAGATATTCTGACATTAAAACGGCACTCTTGGAATGTAATTTAGCATACAAACACATTAAGGACAGTTATAGTTAAATGAAAAGCACACCTTCTCTGGTTTGTTACAGACTAACGGAATCAAGGCCTGGGGTTCAGTTGCCATTGCACATTCATCGATGAGGATCTGACGCGCGCTGACTGTTTTAGTCAAACTCGGGGTGGAAGACTGTGTACATGTGCACAGTATGATGTCATGCCGTTCAAGCTCATGTGTCCGAGCATCTCTGAGGAGGTTCTTGTATCTAGGAGGAAAAAAAATTTATTCTGTTAGGACTGCAAATAAAGTTCTTCATATTCAAAATCATTTATTAAAATATCTTATTGTTTTTCTCACTCTTTTTTCCACAGAGGATTTTAGTATGCAAACATATTACAGACTCTAAAATGACTTTAACAAACACAACATATCAGGGTTGGATATTGTCGCATCACATTGAGTCAAAGTGACTGTACAAGCCTACTTTAATGTGTTGTTTTAGTTTTCATCCTTGAATTCTTTTCTCTTATAAAGTTGAAAAATACTGTTTCAAAACACTTCCATTTTGCCTTTTTTTAATTGACAGTGTCAGCTGAAAGACAGGAAAGGCAAAGAAGATAGAGGGGATGACATGCAGCAGTGCCCAGGCCGGACTTGAACTACGGCCGTGTTTCAAAACACTTCCAATAAAGCATAAATCCCTCCGCTCTCATGTAGTCTTTCCCCCAATGGCCACAGGGGGCAACAAAGAGCCCATTCCAGTGTTGCAAAGATGTCCCTGAAAACCACCAATCCGGTGTTTCCCCTATATTCATTCACTGTGCAAGCATGGTAACACTCAATGGTGGGCTGGCTCCCTCTACTTATTCTTCAAAGGAAATCTATGTGGAAGGTAGGCCTACTGTTATAAGAGTAGCGTAGCTCTTTTAAAGGAACAGGGCAGTGTGTAATCTGTGTGCGAGTGTGTGTGGTTGACCAAATGTGAGACAGTTAGCGTCAAAAAGTGATGGTGAAAGCGAACGTAGGAGAGGAAAAGATGTCAGTCTGGCAGTAAATGTACAGTGTAGGCTACAGTGTGTCAGTTAATAAATGCACTCGCTAAAATCTCCCCTGAGATTCAGACTGTGGTCTAAAAGCTGAGCCTGATGTTTTTTGGCTGTTAGGCAGCTAAATTTATAGGAGCTAATGTAATTAGTTGCCACCATCCCTTAAAATACGGAATCGTCTCGTATTTGAGAACTAAATAGCGCATCCCGTTTTGAATCAATTGGGGACGTGGTTTGTCCAGTATTTCCGAGTTGTCCTCACTACAGCATAACCTGCAAATCATTCCACCCACATTTTGTGAAGACTTGTCCTTTTCTACGCCTGATTGGGATTGCCCAACTTGTTGGATGGGCCTTCCATTGTTGGTTTGATTAATAGGCTACAATTTTGGTATGCTTTATTTTTTAAGGTTGGGGTATACAGTCAGACACATAAGCATTCATTTAATAAAAGTTAAGAGAGAGATATAGGCTATAATTTAACACACATTTAATTATCAAAATATAGTGCCTAGGTGAAGAATATAAACAAGAAGAATATAGACATATTGGTATGTGTTATGCCAAACCAATCTATAGAACTGCATCCTTCAATACTATAGAATTAACAATGGGCTTTATAAAAGCTTAAAAAATAAATACATAAATATATTTACTGACCAATCATAAAAATGGTGATAAATTAATTTTGAAATGTTTGTAGAAAGGTTATTTATGTGTGGTTTCATTGTTTGGATGGTATTACTGCAAACAATGACAAATCTTAGCCAAAAACACCACCCTATTACAATTACTCAAGTTCATTAGCAATTTCTCATTCTGTCCATCAACAGCCACATCATAAGCATCGCAGCATCCACTGGCTAAGTGGAAAGGATATTTTCCAGATTGAGCAACAAAGTGACAGCAAGAACAGGTGCTCCGTGGAGCTCATTAGTAGTGAGGTTTTGATCACTCTCAACTTTGAATAGTTCTATTCATAGTTTTACTGTAGCTGTTTGAAAGACAAACAGCTACTCAGTGCTGCACAAGTAGTGTACTTCTGACAAGAAAACATTTTAAAAGGAAGTAGGCTCCAATACTGCCCACAAGGCCTACTACTGGTCCACTTTGGTTTAGGTAAACAATGGTAGGGGAAACACTGCAGGACTAGCCTAACTATGAAACTATGCCATGAAAGTAAAATCATTGCGGAGGAGAGCATCAAAACTAACTAAATGACTTTCCCCAGATCCAATGGTTGTAGCTTCTCCCCAGTGGACTTCAACAGAACGTTTAGTCTTTAAGCTTTTTGGTTTTTGTTTAATTATTATCTGCTCTAGCTTTTCCAACTTTTTGTACACATACTGAATAATAATAATGGTTCAAAATGTGGTGAAATTGCATTTCTAATCTGTTTAAATAGGTATTACTGACAAACAGTTTTCCTGCAGTTTTAAACCGTGTTAAACCAGTAGTGCATCTGAACTTACTTTTTCACCTCTTCAGCAGTCAGCTCTTCTTTTTTCTCAATGCGTTGGTCAAAATATTTTATTTGACCTGCATTGGGGTTTTGGTCCTGTCGCATGCGGTGATGTAGAGTGATGCTCCTAAAACCATGTAAAATATATCAGTGCAATTAGTTCAAATTCTAAACTGAGTGTCATCAACTAATGTGATTACAGTACCTGAGCTCTGGTTTGGCACGTTCTTGGCGGAGTGTCCTCTGGGAAAACTGAAGGGTGCAGTTTGGATAAGGGTAATCAAGCATCTCCACTTGTTGGCTGTAGACCCGGAGGGGTCTTAGCTTGTCACCAAACCTCAAAAGGTACTCTGTGTCACAACAGTAAAAGGGAACATGGTTTAAAGATACATAAAGAAATGCAGTTGAAAATTTAGCAGAGACACAAAGTAACTTACCAGCAACGACATCAACAGACTTGTTGGATGGGCCGCAGTAGAGAATAACTTGTTTCTTGTTTTTATCCTTGGGGTCATCAAATTTCCTTTTGTTCTTTGAGTTCAGCTCAAAGAAACAGTACACTATGTACACACCTACTACTGTCTTTCCAGTTCCTAAGAGACAAATGAGAATTATGTCTTTAGCCTTAGCAGAAAATATAAGGCATCAGGGTAAATACAAGTTCTTGTTCTTACCAGGTGGCCCCTGTATAAGTGTGAAGGTATTATTTAGAGCTTTCGTGACAGCACGATGCTGACTCTGGTTAAACGGGGGCAGTACATTTGGTAGGTCTTTCCTCATGTTGTACCACACTGCGTTTACTGCAAAGAAAAAATAACAACTTCAGGTGTTACTCACAGATACAAAGAGTTAAAATCTATGTAGCTATTTACTGCTGACTAATGGACATACCCTCTTTTGGAATGTGTTTTCCAAGTGCTATAGTCTTGACAAGCTCACATGCAGAAGCAACGCTGACCACAGCATTTTCTTTCCGGCTATAGAAAAAAAATTATAAAACGGTATGTCAAAGAAATATGTGATCAAAAGTCAAACTAAAACCAATGTTACATTGGAAAGGTAAAGGGAACTACACTTACATGTCAGGCAGGAGCTTTGGGATTATTTCAACTGTGAAACGAGTGCTTTTCTGAAAGACACAATCAGGAATGGTGTCCATGGGCAGGTGATTGACATAGAACTCCACTTTACTGCCTTCATTTTTACGTTCTTCTACTTTGCTAGTGACACCATGGGCCACCCATGTAAACTCTCTTGGGTCCACCGATGCGGAATGTTCCAGGGAAGTCAACTTCAAACCTCTTTTCCGTATACACAGCAGGCACTTTGAAAGGTTACATTCAATGGCCCAATCATTGATCCATGCCAGAGGTAAAAAGAAGCTTCCTTTTAGTGTGCCTTCGTGCTCTTGATTGAAGTTTACCAACAGATTCTCAATGACGATGCTGTCACTCTCATCCACAGCAGTAGCAGCAGATTCCATCTCACACATCGGTTTCCAGATCCGTACATACTCCTCTATGTCACTATAATGAATCCTTGATGGATGATCTGCTGATCTTGAGAAGCATGTGATAGGGCTGTGGACATGGTCCACACAAATCTCAAACTTTGGTTTAATGCGCACCAACTGAACAGCAGGCATGGGATAACCCCTTTTTACCTCTGATGTCATTTGGATCTGAAGGGTGTCACCTGTCTGCAACTGGAGGTTGATGTCAACCTCATGCTCCCTTTGCTGCATGGAGGTACATGTGTGGGAATGAGGCATTTCAGCTGATTGTGACCGAATTTTTTGTTTTTCCAGTTCCTTATTAGCCTGCTTTATGAGAATCATTGCATGATTAAAGTTTTCTTTGTCAATTGCTTCAACAGTGGCTTTCCATACTGTCAGTGGAAGCTCAACGCAGGGACCACAGTCTGGCTTTTCCAACTCTTGGTGGATTTGCATGGTGTCAGCTGTGTAGATCCGTCTTTTCCATTTTAGAGTGCATTGATTTGTGTCATCATTAAATGGTTGGTCACACAATTGTAAATCTTTGTACATAATTGATAGACTCTCTGCAAATATGTTCTTGTTAAAAGGAAATGACACTGCAAAACTGTCTCTGTTGAGATCCACACGAACAAAGGCCAGCTTTGAAGCACTTTGTTTTTTCATGCTCACTGCATATTTGATTTGCTCACTCTTTTGTTCATACTCCTTGGCATGCTTGAGGTTGTGCTCAAATTCACTGCACAAAGTCGAAATCTCTGTTCGAGTGTATTGGACATCCCTTTTACATATGACAGAGTGCAAAAGTCTCTGCAAGATGATGTCCATGTACCTGCGGATTGGTGATGATGCTTGTGTGTAAGAACGTACGCTCAGAGAATAATGCCCAACCTCTGCTTTGGGAGAGGAGTAGGAGCGGATGACATAAGCTTTACTAGAGCACCTTCTGAACTGTTCAGTGACTGGCTGGAGCAGAGGGTGGATGTCATCTGCAGCAATCAGGTCCACCATTTTGTCTATATCATCTGTTCTGGCAGCGGCCTGGATATCATTCCACACTTCTGTGAGTATGTGGAAGTTTTCGCATTTTGGGGCTTGTTCTTCATGGGCAACTCTGTGCCGCGCATGAAAAGACAGTGGTATTAATTCCCCGCATTTCTCCTTGAATTCCTCAATCTTTTCAGGGTCTGGTTCTGCCTGACAGCGAAGGGGTGTGTAATACCTGCTCTTTTCTGAATCGATCAAAGCCTCAGATGCATGTGTATTGAATAACACACTCAGCTCCTCAATCATCAGGTTGGCTTTGCGCTTCCCGGGCAATCTCTGATCATCAGGTTGAGAATAAGCCCAATCCACAAGTCTAATCTTCCTTTGAGCTTTTGCAAAACAATAAGCCACTGTGACACAGTCTTCATCTGTGTCAAATTTAGGGCTATGTCCATATCTTTTGGAGATCATGTTCTCTGCCTGTTCATAAGACAACTGTTTATCAGAATTGATCAGTGACAGCTGAAATTTGGGCCTTCCAATGATCTCATTTGTTTTCTTGTTTACTTTGAACATTAATGAAACTGCCCTGCGATCTTGACCTGGCAGAAGACTGAAGAGTCCAGTGCTCAGTTCTTGGGGGAACATGTGAATGGGGTTTCCCCCACTGCAGTAATATGTGGAACCACGTTGTTTTGCATCCTCATCTAATTCACCACCTGGACTCACAAAGCTTGCCACATCTGTAATATGGATTCCCAACTCATATTGGTCTCCGACATCCCTGATGCTGATGGCATCATCCAAGTCTTTTGCTCCTACTGGATCAACAGTGAAAGTGAATATATCACGTATGTCCTGTCTGTGTGTCCTGTCTTCATCTGCCCAGGAGAAACCATCGTCAGATGTACATGTATTGGGTGCAACTTTGAATTCTTCATTCAGGACTCTTAGTCCTTCAACCAAAGATGTTCCGATTGGAAGTATTTCTATGACATATCCCAGTGGAAGAAAACAATTTTCTTTCCAGCCAATCACTTGCACCACAAATACATTGTTCTGTTTGAGCTTTTCATCAAGACGTTCATGTGCTGCAATCCTCCACTGTCCATCAATTTGCTCCCATATTGGAATGAAGTTACGTCTTTTCTTGCTGATCAGTATTCGTATTTTGGGCGCAGATTTTGTAATGGGCATCATCGTCCTTTTGACAAATTTGTCATCGGAATTCTGTCTTGGTTTGCTGTAATCTTCAGCCTCAAGCAGGCATACAAGTACACGAGCTGATTCAGCTTTCTTGGTGATGCTGAACACGCTTGCTGTTTGTAAGACCACTTCGTCTCCAGTGAAGACCTTACCCAGGTTTTCTCTTCCCTTTATGCTTATACGTTTGGTGGGGTTGTTAAATGGTATCACATAGCCTTTGTTATATGACTCCCTGACCAACCTTCCTCTCTTGTACTTCTCTGGTTGTTTTTTACATAACTCCAAAAGGTCTGGGTCAACATCAGTTGTATTGTATGAGGCTTTGGGCTTGTGGTGATCAAAGTTTTTAAATTCCAAATGGTCTTCATCTGAACAGTATTCCGTTGTCAGCTGTTCATATTCATCTTTCAACTCTTGAAGAATTGCATCAGTGAGAGTGTTGCTCTCATCCACATGTTCCGGCTTTTGAAACCTTGCAGTTTCCATAACATCTTTTTCAAAGAAATCTTTGGTGAAATGCTGTGGTGCAACACTGTCGTTGCTGATGCAGTGGTTTATGTAGCTTTTCCAGACACGTGAGCATTTCCCAAAGCAGCAGAGGGCAGCAGCATCTCCAACCACAACCACGTGTGACTGAGCCCTAGTCATCGCAGTGTTTAACACACGGGCATCATTGAACAGCTCCAGACCAGGCACATGAGACGTTTTTAGGCTGTCACGTGTTTGCACAGTTGTAATTATGACTGCCCTGAACTGTTTACCTGTTAACACATGAAGATAATGTTTATTATGTAGAATGAATAAAATATATGAAAGGTAATAAAAATATAATGTTTGTTTACTCAAACAGTTTGAATTTAACCATCCTTTATGTCTAACCTAATGTGATAATCTTGAAGGAGAAAAATTAAAATCACCTTGCACATTTGCAAGATTCTCAACATGGACGTCAGCAAGGTTTTTTCTCGAGAGCGCTGTCCTAATTAGCTGAACCTACAAATCAAACAATTGAGATAAGGAAACTATTACAACTCTGACAATGACAGTACATACATTAAGAAATCTTCACTGATTGCTGTAATGTTTTTCCCTCACTCTTGAGACAACAATTTTTTTTTAATTTACCTGAAATCCCTCTGAAAGAATGCAGATTGAGCTTTGGTCCTTGGGCCCCCAGGACGATGGCCAGAGTTTGATAATCTCTTTCACTGCTTCAACCACTTTGGCAACCTCTTCTTTGTTATACCAAGACATAGACGCAGTTTCCAAGAGACATTCTCCCCTAACATGGTGAAACTTTAGGGCATGGCCGTTTTCAGGAGCCGGAATATTTGCGGCAGCTTTGATAACATCATTCTTGCCAACGTAGAAATGGGTGGACACGAACTCCACAATTTCTTTGGTTGAGCGATAGTTTTCGCTGAAAATGACTCTACTGTTCTGGGCAGCATCACACTTTTGGGCTTGATAGTAGTGGAACAAGCGATTAAGAAGTGTGTGATTTGACCGGTGATGATCATCAACTGAGAAAAGCTTGGGTCCCATTTGCATGTGATCTCCAGCCAAAACAACTCTGGTGTTTGGCCCAGCAAGACCAAGGGCCATCAATGCTTCACATTCTAGCATCTGAGAGGCTTCATCAATTAGTATGTGCGTGAAGTATCCCTCTGGAAGCTTTAGGTCATGAAAATGTCTTGCCATTGTTGTGGTGGTTATGACTATTTTGTGACAATCTAGGGCAGCTTTTGTAGGTGGTAGAAAATACTGTCCATTTTCCGAAAGAAAACAGTATTTCAAAGTAATCTCATCTGTGGCAGAAAAAGCACTCCCTTGTTTGTTTGCTTTTATTCGAATTGGCCTCATTCCATTACTTTTCTTGTTGATGAATGGATGGAAGTGATCTCTGACATACAGATCTGCAGAACTGAAAGGAAACAAAAATGTATGGATAAGTACATGTTGGAATTGTTATAGTAAAACTTCTTTACAACATTACAGCTTAGAGCAAAACGCTTAACCTAGATTAACACTTTGAAAGTGAAACAATATTTAACAAATACTTGAGGAGCACACGTCCATATGTATCAATCAATCAATCAATCAATATTTCATTAAACACATTTTAAATAGTATGCATTACCTGTTGGTGTAGGTGCAAATAAGCACTTTGTTGTGAGGCTGCTTACAAAGCTCTCTGGCTGCTGCAGCAAGGGTGAATGTTTTCCCAGTGCCAAATGGTCCATAAATGAGGAGAGGTGCCACAAATTTTTGGACATTGGAATTCCCTGTGATAAAATCAATTGCTGACTGCTGCTTTGGATTCAGCTTCTCATAGGAGATGTTATTCACAGGAACTTCACAGTGTTTAAGGTCTGGTAGCACTCTTTTTGTATCAGGAAGGAGATCTACAGCCTTGTGCATGGTGCAGAAGCTGTAGCGGTTTAGCTGAAACTGCACCTCCATTTGATACGATTGATTGCATTTGAGTGTGAGATCTGAGCAACATTTTTTAGAGAGTTGCAAATACGTTTTGGTCTCACTTGTTTTGTTTTTCAGGACGATGGCCTCATAGACCTTGGGGTTTTGACCACTTGAAGATAAAGGGGCTATCAGGCCAGACTTGATGCTTCGTTTTAGTACCAGTCCCTCAGGGGTGTCTGGAGTGAGATTACAAGGAATCGAGACAGCACAGAACAGTTCTCCCTGAGGAGCCATCGCCATGCCAAACTTCGTACTGTTCAAGGTATCCAATGTTGTCATTTCTCCACAAACATTTAATCTGAAGTAAATAAGAAATACATTATTGTTTTATAAATATATACAAATTCCACACATTGTAAATGAAAATAGGATAGAGATAAGCATATTACCTTGAAACAATCTGGTCCTCTGCCCGTTCCTCAGTGTACAGGAAGTGGTGCATTCTTTCTTTGTAGTTCTCATTATTCAGCGGTGTTTGGCTGTTGTAGGAATGTTTATACAGAAAGCTAATCTGAGGAGGCTTGTACTGCTTTGACAGTTCCTCCTGTTCTTCTGTCCTGGACGAACATGGGATGATAACCCTGTTTCCTCTATGCCAACGCTCAACACGTTGAAAGGCGGCTCCACGGTTAACAGTTGGTAGTTCTGTGTCATCCAATGAAAGCTGGCCTACTCTTACTCTGAGTTTCTTCAGTAGCACTGGTCTCATGTCAAAATCTAGCACTAACCACTGTTCATACAGGCCCGGGTTGATGGATGCGAAAGACACGGTGATGTCATAGGACATGTCTTTACTGAGAAAGTGTTCGCCTGAGGAGTAGATGCAGGGCTCAGAACTGATGTCACCAAGGGAGAATGAAGCTCCCGGTTCTTGCTTCAGAAGCGCAACATGCACAAGTTGTCTCTGTATATACAGAAAAGTGGAAATTAAACATACTCAGATAACATAGTTCTGGGACTTAAAAGTTGAAGATTATGTGGACATTACACGGACACCAAGAAGAGAAACAGAGCACAGAGAAGCTAGACAAGTTGTGCTGTTAGTATGCATAATGTACTTTGCCTTTGGGCCTCAGTCTAGCCATTTCTGCCTGAATGCTTTCTGTTTACCTGTTACCAAGCTGACATCTGTTACCTGGGTGCATGATGTGTCTTGTTTGCCATCCTGCCTCAGCTTATTTGCACTGCCTTTTGCTGAATTGATAAACTGTTTATAAAGAAATCAGCTGTGTCTGAGTGTTTGCATAAGGGCCCTGCTTCCTTCTGCCTTTAATACACATATGCCGCTTTTCCACCACATGGTTCCAGCTTGACTCGCCTTGACTCTACTTGCCTTTTTTGTTTTTTTGTTAGGGAAAACGGTACCTGGCACATTTTTTGGTGAGTGAGCTGAGGCAATACCAAAAGGTGATGCAAAAACACCGCAAATTGGTCAGGGAGAATCGATGACAAGTCCTTGTTGGAAACAACCTAGCTAACTATGTGCAGCTAGTCCTGCAGTGTGTTTACAGCTGGCCCGCTGCTGGTTGTAGTTTAGGATTTCTTCTGGAGGTTTCTACAGGGAGCCAAATTACCACCAGTCAGTCAGCGTATGTAGGACAGGTAGAATGCAACGTAACTTTTCATTTTTATGCATCAATAGAGCCGTGCTGCTGGACTGGAGATGCCCCCGCGCTGAAGTTCTTTGAAGAACTTGATGGCTTTATCCAGTTTGTCATTAAATTTGTGGCAACACCTTCTATGAGGTCATCGCTATAATGACTTATGCATATATTTATAACACAATATAATGCTTTTGTAAGACATTATAACAATTGTTAAAATCACTTACAAACATGCATTAGGCGCTATACCAAAGTTAATAAGTCATTATGACCTTTTGACTTAATGTTTTATAACTGATAGCAATACCAGTTTATACCACTGAGCACCAAGAATCTCCAACCATGTTCCATAACACATTATAACCACTCTGCCTCGTTATAAATACACTGTTTGTGACTGTGTCACAATTTAGAATTAGTGATATAAAATGGAATAATAGCTTATAGTAATATTTAATGTTATATAGCATGTCTTTGTTTGTTTTAAATAAAGTGTTAAAATGTCCATCCCTGTATAATAAATTACAGGCAGACATAATACTACATGAACTAATTATAAGACCTTATAACACGTATTAGTTTGCTTTACATAAAGTGCCACACATTTTGCGCCAATCTGCATGAACTTTTGAACATTTTGCAGTTTAGCACAAAACCACAAATTAATTACACCAAGGAAACTCATTCTCAGGCTGGTGAGGGATCGTTCAAGAGAAAAAGTTTTGTGTGGCGTCGCTATGATGGCTAGCTACATTGAATAGGTACTATGTGCAATGGAAAACAGGATGGGGCACCAAAGTGAGTCAAGTAGAGCTGAGGTGAGTTGAGCTTTTCCCACCCAGTGGAAAAGCGACTTTCGAGGAAACTAAACTCCAAACTCTGAGGACCGGTCAAGATTTTATCCACTCCAGGTTCTGTGCCTCCTGGGCATGTTACTCCTGCCATCCCAGTGTCTTCCAGTTCCTGGCTCCTCTCTGGTGCATCCCAGTAGCTCAGCCAGCCTGCATTGGCTAGCCTTCAAGTCATGATGTCATGTCTGTCTATGGCTGATGCAGAGACCCTAATTCACACGTTTGTTTCATCAGACAAACTGACTCCTTTGAGGCCTTTAAATCCAAACTTAAAAGTCATCTTTCCGACTTAACTTTCAGTTACATGCTTAAAATTTGATTACTTCAGGCCTTTACCTGTTACCATTATCCTTCCAGTGGTTGGCTTCAGTCTCAATGAACTTATTAAGCCTGGTACTTTTACCGTCCTGTCCTACAGACAAGGATTTTGTAAACTTTATGAAATCTACTGCATCTCTGTAGCATCTGTTTGTTTGTTAGAGCATCCAAGCTGTGTACCTGTCTCTCTCTCTTTCTCTCTGTTTACTACTATATGTCCTTTATTTTCACTCAGGCTTTTCTGTACTGGACCATAGGCCGTCCTGGGACCTCTCTCTCTCTACTGACTGTTGATGCCTCACTTTAGATATTTTGGGGTTGTTTAGGAAAATGAACAACCTTTCATGCCATATTGCAAAAATCTTACCTCTGTTTCAACTTGGAAGTTCCATTGCAGTGTTGTATTGATCTGTTCACACTCCACAGTTAAATCTTCATCACAAGATACGCTGACATCGTCGATTTGCTCTGAAATCTGTTCAGCATTTGAAATAGTAAATTGAAATAGTGATGAACTGTCAATTAGTAATTTAAAAACAGGTATTTATTCAAGTTTAGTCTAGTTACACACATGTAGAATTTCTTTGTTATACCTTAATGTTATCTAGTTTTGAATACATCTGTATGTGATGAATAGCTAAATTGAGCTCAGATTGTGATAAAGTGTTTTGATTCTTCGAGAAGCAGAAATCACTATACTAAGATAACACCCAGAGATTAGAGGTAGAGATCAGAGGTAGGCCAATATATACCCACAATGCACTAGGTCTACATCCATCTTCAAACCCCTCCCGCAAACAACTTGTATATTGTTTATTTAGCATTTGAAGGAATTCTATTTTATTCTTGTTTTTCCATTTTTATTATGTTTTGTCTGATGTATGTACTACAGTATTTATTGTCTTATTTGAGTGTGTCTTTTCAGGTCTGACAGCACTACAGTGTTTTCTTCATGGGAGTGATAAAGTTTGCTATAACCTTGAGAAACACTGTGAGGATATGCGACTTTATCTTTCTGGCTGGATTCAAAGACATTCTGAAGCCTGGTGTGCTTTTTAGTTGACTGAGAACTGGCGCACCATGATAAATCAACGTTGGAAAATAATGACACAAAGATTAGAGCCTCGTACTCACAATGTACACTTCATTACTGCTGTTTTTGTATTCCTCCAGGAGCCTTTCATTATAGCACATAAGACCCTGTGCTCCAATGTTATGTCTGATCTCCTTCTCTTCTGCAGCACGCATCATCCACTCTTGCAGTTCTTCCTCAGAATGAGCTTTTGGGCACTTGTTGCCGTACTCGCATGTTTGTGGTCTAGGATGAAATGGCAGTTTTACCAATACAATAATAAAAACAATAATAAAAGACTTTAACATCACTTAGTGTTTTGGAGCCCCCTCAATATGGAAGACTTAAAATGCATGAATTAAAACAAATCAAACAAAGAAAGTGAAATACGTGTTATGTAAATCATTTTTGTCTTGACTATCACAATCAAAACCAGATGGAAATTATTAATTAATAAGCTTTTTTCTTAATTAACAGACAGGATTCTTGACATGAATTTTCGGTACCACCCTAAAATCAAATCACAACACAGAAGACAAAGAGTTGTATTACATTTCATGTTTTTCCATCAGAAGGCAGCATAGACTTGCCAATATTAATTGCAAAGCACTATCATTAATTTTCATGAGGAGGTGTGAGAGAGCTTTTTCTTTTTGAGATGGAGACACATCACCAATGCTAAAATGAAACAATCAAGTGTTCAATCACAGGCTGGGGGTGGGACCATGAGTGTGACCTCATCGTTCTGTAAGCTAGCTGACCGCAGGCACGATAAGTAAATATACGTTTACTGTATATCCAATGCATCTTTTCCACCGCTGGTACCAGCTCAACTCGCCTCGCCTCTACTTAACTTAGTTTTGGCCTGCTGTCCTCCATTTTCCATTGCAGATAGTACCGACACATAGTACCCCTCAATGTAGCTTGTCGTCATAGCAATGCCACACACAACTGCCCCATTATGTTCAACACGAGACACACAGGTCGACTCACACACACCAGCTGTTTCTTGAACAGAACAGAACAGCGGTACGAAAATCTTACAGATGTGGTTTCCTTTGATGTACAGCCAATCATGTCATCATACAAATGTACCGCCAATCACGTTAATTGACGTTACCTGCAGGCGCAGGACCCCAAGCAGATCTGAGCACCTAAGCACATCTGGTACACCAGCGGGTCGTTAGCTTCCTCCAGCGGTGCTTGCGGAGCTCCTCAACTCCAAAAACATTCGAGCACATTTTTGATCCACGATCAATTTTTGTAAAACTGCAGATATTCAAAATCTACCGGTTGATTTCTCACCTCATAACTTCTCAGAAGTGGATTTAGTGATGAAATAACATACAAAATTTTTAAAATATAGGCTAAACTTTCTGTTGCTGGCCCCACTCAGGCACACGCAATGATGATGCAGTGATAAGATTATCTCTGACCAATCAGTGGTCTGCAGTGTATTGCTCGTCACATTTTAGTATCGCCTCAGCTGAAATCAGCTCGCTTAGAACCTTGACGGAGGTGATATGAAAAAAAGTAGCAGGTAGCAGGTAAAGGTACAACTGTTCCCCAGTGGAAAACCAAAAAGTGGCATAATTACATTTTGTCAATGACAATCACAAAAGTAACTAAATAGTCAATGATAGTGTTTCTCCGGTAGGCTAGCCCAAAGGAAACTCTTTTAATGTGAAAGGTTGTCTGTCATGACTGCCATCTGATCCCAAGCTATGACTGGACAGTTGAATTACATTTTTTGGTCTGGAAAATGTGTCTCCAAATCAAAAAAGACCACTCCTTCTCACCACCTCATGAAAACTAGTATTGTTCTGTACTAGTATGCTGTTCTCTGCTGGACAACTCTGAAATGCAATTCACTTCACTATTAGTTTGAATTTATTTTAAACTGAGTGGCTCCTCCTTTTCTGAATTTAGTATGCATGCTGGCATGCATACTAAATTCAATATGAACACTAAATTCTCAAAACCTGGTTATGATTAGTGTGTACTGTGAAAAGGGACACAGCATTTCTCTTTAAAGAATAAGTCTGGTGATGTTCTATGTTTTTGTTATATCTAAACAAACACTGAATGTATCCCACTAACAAGTATTGTGTGAAATCTTATTCCTTTGTGCCATGGAGCTCCATTGTTGTCCAAAAATACTCATTCATCATAAGTAGCATTTCCTCCTATTTGAGATTTGTAGAACAAACTAACAAAGCACTACAGTACCCTGCTGTAGTAAATTACTGAGAGTTTCTTTGAAATGTAAGTTTTTATTAACAACACATAGCTTATATTTGGATTAACATTTTTAGCAGGAAAGAATGGACTTGGAGTGCTGACTGACTGTGGAAGTCAGAAAGCCTTGAGAGACAAACCAAGTTGATGTTGGGCTTTTCATGGAATTTGTTGATATTCATAATGCGGAATATCACTAGACTTATCCTTTAAACGGGATAAAACAGAAAAAGTGGGAGAGCCCCATAAAACTACATGAAATCATGGCAATGTCTGGCCTTTTTTTTTGTTAAACAAATTGGTTAGGAAAATGATAGAGAACCTTCATTAATCTGCAATATGTTTGTAAAACATGGAAAAGGGACTAGTGTTGTTTACCTCTCACACATCCAAAACTTAGCTCGGCAGTTGTGTGGAGGCTGTCGTCCTCTCCACTTGGTGGTGGTGTCCTCAGAAAGTAACTGGGCATGTTCCAACGAGGAGCAGTGCTGATAGAAGCTCTCTGGGGAGGACAGGACCAGGAGGCAAACTTTGCAGTACATGGCGACCTGTCTGGGCTCCTGCTGCTGCCGCCGGCTCAACTGAAGGAGATGAGGCTGAACAGAGAGCCCGCTGTGCTGTGCTTTCCACACGGCCATTTCCACCTCGCTTTGGGCAGACTGGCAGTGGCCGGCCTCATGCCAGCAGGGTTTGCCTTGCCTGACATGACCGCAGTACTTAAACTGACAGTTTTGGGGAAGAGGGCGCACCTGGCTGTAGATGTGTTTTCCACTATTCTCTGATAGGTGATAAACTAAGACTGGGTCCCAGGTGTGTGCTGCATCTGCTGAGCAAGTGGCATTCCACCTTTTGGGAGTCAGTTTTGGCGGACGATCATGAAAGCAGTCTTTACACAGCTCAATGAATTCACCAGAAAACTGTTGGAGTATTTGTTTAGCTGCATGTTCTGGTGTTATCGAAATAGGCTCAGACTCAATTACAAGTTTGAATAACTCGTCTTTATCGATGTTTTTGTCTTTAACATAGTTCCATACAGTGGCCTCTTCATAACTTCTGGCGTAAGTGCATGCCTGCCCGTGTTTTGTACATCCAGAACCCTCAACAAAGAAGTCACACTTTTGGTAATGAACATTTGGACCAAATTGTCCACGTGTAGGCCGCGCAGAGACAGGCCTCCATTGCTCAGAGGCTTTGGCTTTGGCTAAAAGCAGTTTTCTACTACACGTGTGACTAAGTGACTGAACTGTGTATGTTATTTCATTCTCCTTGCTAGAACACAGATCACATACAGCCTTCAAATCTAGAGTTGCCAAGAGGTCTCCTGAAGCTTCAGAGCTGTCAGGCTGATCAGATTCTCTCTGAGACTGAGCTACAAGATGACAGAGAAACACGTGGTCTAATCTGTGACGCTTTTCAAATGTCCACACGGCAGCTTCCTCATCACTTCTAGCAAAGGTGCACCGGTTCCTGTGGTGTTTGCAACCAAAGCCCTCCACAAAGAAGCAACATACCTTATAGTGACTTGGATTTGGAAACAGAGGCCGCTTAGCAACAGGCCTCCATTTGCTGCCACCTTTGGCTCTGCAGAGCAGGAGATTGCGCGCACACTGATGGTGGACAGATTTTAACGTATAAGTAATTTCTTTCTTCTCAACAGAGCATTGAGCGCACACAAGTTTGAGGTCATGTGTTGATAAAAGAGCAGTCAGTGTGGACCCACTGGCTGACATTGTGATACATTCATAATGCCAAAGTCAGCAACTGAATGCAGGATATGGTGTAATGGCCCTGAAGATTGACAAATGTCCAACTTTGCATGAAAATGTCTGAAAAAGAAAACAGCAGAGAAGGCAGCATGATGAATATTGTGCTCATTATTTTAATTAATATTTTTGCCAATTATTTTGCACCACTTTTTTGGTTGTTGTTTAGAAACAGTTTGAAGAGTACGGCATTCAAATTAAATGACTAGATTGCCAGGAATGACACACGGTGTGTTTGTGGCTCTGGTCACACGTAGCTTCAGACAACATGGCCTCAGTTACACCTGGAATTAACATGTGATCTGTATCTGGATACATTCATTGGATGATTAAATCAAGTTACCCCAGTTCTGCCCGCATTGTTACGGGAACTCAGTTTACATATCTTCCAAGAGAAGACTTGCTAGCTACTCAGAGCAGATTTGTTCTTAATGTGATGTAAGACCTGACCACAGTGCGAGCCAGACCCAGACCTCCAGATGTGGAGGTCACAAGATGTTGTCATTCCAATATAACTCTGCTGATCATTAAAGGTCACAGCTGAGTTGATCCTAAGAATCCTAAATGACTTCAGAATTCTTTTAACCAGATATGGACCAGCGTGCATCCCAAGTCCACTAGATGGCGCAGTCGCACAGTATTTAATGCAATGTCAGGAGGAACACAGACTAACAGTATGAAGAGAATGGCTCACAATACCAGGGCATGATATTAAAAGTAGGTATTGAATTGTAGAATTCAAAATGTAATGCTGTCTGATTCTAAATAAAATTCTATAGGCCGACCCATGTCCATAACTGCCAAGTCAAGTTTACTGTTTCGACACTATTGCTAGTGCTACTACAGATGACAGTACTAGGCTAAAAACACTAACAACAATAATTACCGTCGGTGGTCTTCATAAAGGCTGTAATATCGCGGTGACTAACTGAGGACGTCCGCCATGTTATTTGAAGCAAACTTGAGAGTTGGCTGATCGTCAACAACAGGCGGGCTCGAACAGCAGCGTCGCGTGCACTCACCGCTCTGAGGTGTCAGGATGAACCGGAGCACATCTGGAGCCTGTCAGCCTCACGCGCTTCTGGAGTCGCACCCTTTAGTGGCAACCGCGGATAGCCTGTCTGACTTGAGTTTCGTTTCTCATATTTTGCGTCAGCATCAGGTTAAAATGATAGGCGTTCTCCCCGCACACACACGCACACGCACGCACACGCGAGCGCGCACACTCATGATGAATCGGTCTTCCTCATTCTAACAGTAGCTTGCTTGTGAAGCCGCTGAAGCACCCCTTCATAAAAAAAAAACCTTAATGACGTTCCTGTTCTTGACTCATTTTGTCTGTTATGGAGTTCTTAAAAATCAAAAACAAAAAAACGTTGACGTAGTGCCAATATTTTACTTGTTTCCAATACAAATCCACTTGTTTTAAATTGTTCTGCCTTCGTCTGACATATTCTGATATAAAGACATGTTTCTGCTGACATAAGGTCATTACTGTCGGAAACAAGGTCAAATGGTTATCAGGGAACACTTGAGGAACGAATGAGGAACTAACAACCATTAGGTCATTTTATAGAGTGACCCCTCTGTGTGATGCACCACTTTACTTGAAGAGACACAAAAAGAGTAAGCAGCCTAATCATAAGATAATAATGAAGTAATGAGGGACTACTTAGTTACTCCTCAGTATTATGTAGGCATATCACATTACTTCGGCTGCATGTAAACTGTAGCTTAACTTTACCTAATCAGCAGTGAATGAGTCATCCCTAGTTTTGTGCTGTTCACCAGCTGGTTTACACGTAATCAGGAACAACTCATGAAGAAAGTGGTCAGTATGATCAATCATTGCCTAATGATTCATCAGTATATTCTCTAGTAACTCATCATTACCCACTATATAGTCCTCCATTAGGAATTAACTTATTCATTTATCAATAATCAAGTCGTTCCTGATTCATTGATTTATTTGACATATCAAATACAGTATCTATAACAACAGATTTCCTTGTCTCTGTAAATTCTGCTCTTCTGCATTTTTTTTGGTTGTTTCCTTGTTCCAGTTTGCATTTCCTGTACCTAACATCTATAGCAGGTTTAACAGGCAGGAAAAACAACACCTAACTCTCTCTGTATTTATTCTGAAAGTTAAAATGTTTAAAAGCTAAATTAAATACAGAATCTAGTCTGACATTCATGGCGCCAGATAATTAATCCTATAATCAAAATTATCATGCTAAACGTTCTATTGTTATCATGCTTTCTATGCAAATAATCATGCTATTGGGCCATATCAAATGATTGGCCTTGCTTATTCCAGTCATGTGACAGCCACAGATACCAGATTTGTTAAATTTTTTGTGTCAGAGCAATTGATTTATTTATTTAGAGAATTTTAACAAATTAATTCTGAAGTAGACCACCTACCCCAGCTTTAACCTGGTGCACTGTTGCCCAGTTGTCCATCTTGTGTTGAAGTGACACATCTCAACTTGTGCAGTAAACTTTGGGTGTCATGGAACTTGTCCCACTTTACCGCTGGTACTGTATTTATATTTTATCACCCATGGTCTGCCATTTAAGGGCAACATCCTGGTGGTAAACTTTGAAACATTCAAGTTTACTACGGTGAGGGCTGCATGAATGCATCATTAGCTGGGGTCTACATGAAGTTAGCCCATCTCATTTGGGCAGGAGGGTCAGTAAAAGCAAGGAATTGGATTCATTAGATGGTTAAAATATTTTGTTCATAGATTAGTTTTAAATGGGTACTCCAGCAGTGTAGTATTAGACTTTCATAAAATAGGAGAATTCTGAAGAGACATGAAAAGGCCGTTTTTGAAGTATCAGGGGCTAACTTTCAATTTCAAGTATGGGTCAAGCTCCAAAAAACGCTGGATCCAATAATACTGGACCCTCCCTGACTGGTAAGCGCCAATATATTTCAAACTTTGTAACCCAACTTTCTGTTAAAAAATTTTATTCTGTTCTGATTCTCACAGAAAACAGTCAACTGCTTTCATGGACTGATGACTGAGTTGAACTTCATGTGTAAAATTGGTAGTGTCCCTTTAAGACAAGTCAAAATGTAGTAGTGATAGTAAAAATACTTCTGTTTAATATATCCCCAGAAAAGAAGTATCCTTCAGATTTGGTGTTGGCATTGCATATGTTCACACGTTGTATGTTAGCACTGTATCTCCCCGCTCAATAAACAATGCTGTGTAAGTCTTCATCAGTCTCCTCTTCATCACACCTGAACCTCCCTCACTTTATTTTATTGTTTTGTAGAGCTTTGTGCTGCTCCATGGTTTCAAGTCTTTGGGCTGAAGGATAATTGAATGCACACACACTGGGTCAAATTTCAACAATCAGAGTCAGCCCTGGTGTAGAACGGGAATCTCAATAAACACCTTTAATTTGCTGTTTCAGTTATACCTTTTCTTTTATATTTAGAGAAGCTTATTGCTCAGCTCATCTTCTCACTTACAAGATAAACCCAACACAGATCTTGTTTGGCTCAGGATTGATCTTTATTTCAGTTGTACGTGACTCTGCTATCAGAATATGGATTTGCACTTCGGAATGTGTGTGGTTTACCAAAAGTGAAACAGATGAGTAATATTATTTGGTGCTGATTAACTTCTATTTTGAGTCTTGAATGGTGCACTTTAGGATGATAGTGGTGAATACTGAACAACAGGAAAACTTTGACACAGTGTACAAAACATTTTCAGCCAGAGAGGTCAGTCTGACGCTCCTTGTTCCTGCGTACCTCAGCGGCGTGGACCTCCTGTAACATAAAGTAATAAACTGTCAGATACACGTAAAGCAAAACTCAATGACTAAAAGAGTGTCAGAAGGAGGGGCCTCTGTGGAACACGAAACCTAGAGCCACAACGTATCAGAATCTCTGAGAACAGGAAACTGCTGAGCTGTTGAAACATTCAGAAAACATTATGTTAAGCTCAGCCTTCTTGAGGTGTGGGTGTTTTATTAAAATGTGTCATTTATGGTCTGCTCTTTACAACCCCCAAAACATACAGTACCTATTCACACCCACTACCTTTGTTCTGTTGACATACAGTAGTCAAACTGGCTTTCACTCTGGTTTATAACCTCCAGGAATGCTACTGTTTGTAAATGGAAATTAAGCTACTTTAGTGGAAAAACTGAGAGCCACTCTGAGTAACTCAGTTGCATCAACATTGCTCATTTAGTAATGACTTAAAACGATTTTTAATAATGACTTAAAATTATTTTTGGCATGTCACAGTAGGAAAAGCACAAGTGTAAATAATGTAGGCACCCACTGTCTTCCCAGCCTGATAAAAGCACAGCATGTCCAGTTGTTTGTGTACAAAATACAGCAACTTTTAACTGATATCTGCTGGCTAATAACTGTTCCCAGGATAGGACAGGCCCTGTGTCCCAGTAGCTATCAAACAGGAGGCACTCAACCGATTCTGCATATATAACAAATTTAGCGCACATTTCTCGTCAGCCACAGCCTGTTGGAAAAAAATCAATGATCTTGTCATCAAGCACAATCTTAATTTCATGTTTTTAACTGAAACTTGGTTACACCAAGATAAGAGTGCAGCTGTTCATATCATGTCTACCCCTCCCAACTTCAGTTTTATGAGAGAGGCTAGAGTGCATAAGAGAGGAGACGGAGGTGCCATTTTTACACTATGAACCATGCAGACCTCTTAGGTCATCTGGAACAGGTGTGCTTTCTGCTTTCAAAACTAACCATGGAGAAGAAGAGTTCAGTTTTTATGCTCCATATATGTGGAATAAACTCCCAGAAGACTGCAGGTCTGCTGTCAATCTCATGATGTTTAAAATCAAGATCAAAGACTTTTCTTTTTGCAGCTGCCTTTTATTGAATAAGACATGAGGCTTTACACTACACTATAACTTTTACTCTCCTGTTTTACCTTGTTTTTATTTTCTGTTTAACTCTTTTAAACTGTATGTTTTTTCAGAGCCATCGTTAATGTGCTGTGTCCTGTTCTTTTCCTTCTATTACTACAAAGTCAAAATGTCTGCTGTAAAAAAGGCTTAAAACCTTTGCCTTGTCTCAGTAAGTTCTGTTGTTATTCTGCTCATGAAATTTTGGTTGCTTTTAGTGTAAAACTCACATTAGTGTTGTGTTTATTGACTTTTCTGTGACAAGCCTATTTGTCATCAGACTGCATTTTCTTTAGCTTTTGGGTTCTGTGATTCTGTTTGCTGCTCATCTATAGTATCAATGACAGAAAAAACAACACTGACTTTCTCTTTTTTAATTCGGAATATGAAAAAAAGTGTTTTGAAAGAAGGTTTGATAGCAAAATAACGATATTTATATATTTGAATTAGTTCAAAACCATGTTTTCAGTTCTCTTTTTTTCATTTATCAAGTCTATGTTGGCCTATTCAGTGCTACCAAAGCAGGTGAATTCAGTCTGCTGGTTTGAGCTTATAAGTTCATCCAGAAAATGACACTTATGACATATCTATCTATCTATATCTATATATAATTTCTCTGGTATAGGTACACCCCCCCCCCCAAAATACTGTTTTACTGAACGTTTTAAGTTCAAGACAATTAGACGATGAAAGAGGACTTGTCTGCACAGGTCAGCTGTCCCACCCGCAGTACAGGGCGGTGTTTGAATTTTCTGGCTTCCTGAACTTTTGAGCTATGAGCTCACTGACTTAAAATACATAAAAGATCTGTTGCATTTCATGAGAAATGAAACAGAATCTGCCATCAGGGACAGAGTCGGTGGAGCAGAGTAGAACGGGAAGTGGATATTTTAACATCCAATAGAGTGATGAAAATAAAGTTGCATGTGTGCAGGGGTTGGATGAAAGGTTTTGTTTATTTAGTAATGACCACCTGCAGTCCTGTGACAGCCACAGATAACAGATTATTATTTATTTTTGTGTCAGAGCACATGATTTATTGATTGTTGTCAGAATGTAAAGAGAATTTCAACAAATGTAAAAAATGCCTCTGAAATAAATACTACTGCATAAATTATTAGCTTCTACCAGTTTGAGGGAAATTTGATATTTTACAGTGTTTACTGTTTTACCTTTTATGCTGCAGTATTATAGATAGGTGAAGGTTCCCATGGGAAAGAAGCTCATTAGAGGGTTTCCTTATCTGAACGTCCTTGATAGGCCTTCATCTCAGGATGGTTGGTTCCTATTGCCTTCCTCCCTAAGACAGTTGCGTAATACCCTTTTAAGTGTAAAGTCACCTGTTTCTTCACTGGCTCTTTGTCTTACATTCTGCAGTCTGTTTGCACTCTGTATGTCTGTCTGACCCTTTGCAAACAATAAAAAGACATCTGGATTGAATTCTTTATTTCAGAAGACTCACTAAAGGACATATTTCCATTACATTTGGTGTCAGAAGTGGGATGGTATGGCAAAGTTTGTCAGGGACCTGAGACGGCTGGTGACTGATCACCCTGGAGTAAAGTGTTTCAGCCTCCACCTCGCTGACTTAAGAGACGGGAGGGTAGACCGACCGAACCCCAGAATGTTGCCACTACCATCTCAAAAATAGTTGGACATTTGTTGTCCTTATGTGGTGAGTATCTGAAATAAATAAAAAATGGTCCACATGTGTTCCTGCATTCCCAAAAAACACTAATTAAATGCTTAGAGTGCTCTTTTGATTGTACCATCTCACACACACTGGATTGACCGGTTGAGCAGGGCCGTGCAGAAACAGGGGTTTCTCGCTGCTAACCATTTGGGGTTTAAACAGGACCGTGTAGAAAAAAGTTTTCCCCGCTGTTTTAATCAATTTTGGGGTTTAAACAGGGCTGTGCAAAAGAAAGTTTTCCCCGCTGTTTTGGCCCTTATGGGGGTTTAAACAGGGGCGAGTGCAGTGGTGGAAAGTAACGAAGTACAAATACTTCATTACTGTACTTAAGTAGTTTTTTTCCAGTATCTGTACTTTACTTGAGTATTTTTAGTTGTTGCAACTTTTTACTTTCACTTCGCTAAATTTCAACGTCAAATATCGACTTTTTACTCCGATACATTCTGCAGGAGACCTCGTTACATTGTTCTTGGCCACCTATGCAGCGCACCTGAGTGGAGCAGCAGTGAAAAACAAATTTAAAACTGATAAAGCCGACTCGGCGTGAATTAACTTCAGCCAGCTGATGCGACAGTCAAAGTAGTGACAGTCCAGCTCAATCATTTTATAAATAGTGTTTTATATTTGAAACTGTATTGAAGGAAACCTGGAGGAGCCAGTTTGAATGGGCCTGGTGCAGCTGATAACATTAATAAATAGAAAATATCTATAATTTACAGGGGCTGTGCTGAAGTTTGTCAGTACAGTAGATGCTGGATCATCAGGCAGTACGAGCACAGCCAGAACTGCAGAGCCAGCCTCAGATACATTATCTCAGACCCTGATGGAACAGTTGCTGCTCCACCAGATGACCCAACAGATTGGCCCCAAGTCTTTTCAAATTTCATGAGGACTGAATTAGTGTGCAGAGGTCTGTTCAGACCAGCACTGATTTTTCTAGAAGAGGTTTCTATTCAGGCTTCTTACAAAGGGAGGAATGAAGTGAGAGCCTCAGGTGTGTGAGTCGCAGCTAGTTTGTGACCAAGTGGCAACGTAGCTGGTAGAGTTTTGCTATATAAACATCTGAAAACTGAAGCCAGCCTTGCTCTGTTTGGGACTGTGAGACGCACTTTATCAGAGGTGCTGAAGTTAACGTGTGGGTTTTTGATGAGATTGTGTGAATTGAAAAGCGTTTCAGTTAGTTTTGGTTTCCGCCTCCTTGTCTCATTCTTAGATACCCAAAGTCCCAAACAGGGTTCTGTGTCTGTCAGACGGTCTGAAGGGGATACTACCACACCAGCAGAGCAATAACGCAGATTTACCCTCCCACATATCGGAAATATCCACTGGTACTCTTGCGACTCCGTTTTCCTTATTGTGATTCACTGTAACTTATAATGCTGTATTCAAACCTGTCTTGAGTGAATTTAAAAATATAGGTTGCTTTTTGTAAGATCAATAGATTTTGATGTGAAGTATTTTTTACTTTTGATTACTTAAGTATTTTTAAAACCAGGTAGTTTTTTACTTTTACTTGAATAGGTTTATACTGGATGACTTTTACTTTTACTTGAGTAACATTTTCATGTGGTATCTGTACTAGTATGAAAATTGAGTACTTCTTCCACCACTGGCCGATTGGAAAAAGGGATTTCTCCGCTGTTCGAGCACTTTTGAAATTATTTTTCCACTGTCGACTACTTTTCCCAGAGTTTGTAGTGTAAACAATCTGGATTTACAGTGACGACTGTCCCTAGGTAATGCCGTTTTTCCATTACCAGTACCCGCTCGCCTCGACTCTACTCGACTCGAGTCGGTTTGGCTGTCCTCCGTTTCCAATTGCAGATATTACCCAGAGATGTATGTATCAACGTAGCTGGTCATCATAGCGATGCCACACACAACTGCCGCGACGTAAGTTTCAAAGACAGATAAGCAGTATGAAAACCTTCCAGCTGTGTTTTCTTCTGCCATTGCTCCTCCCACGGCTTCACCCGCAGCCACTTGCGAAGCTCCTCAACTCCGTTCTGCTATCACTTCTCGTAAACCTGTCAATATTCGAAATCTACACAGCTGATTTCTCACCTCAAAACTTCTCAGAAGTGGATTTAGTGATGAAATAACATACAAAAATTGTAAAATATAAAACTTCCTGTTGCTGGCCTCTGTCTGGCGCACGCAATGATGATGCAGTGAATAGTGACGATTCTCTCTGACCAATCAGCAGTCTGCTGTGTTATAACGTCACATTTTAGTATCGCATCAGCTCGCTTGGAACCTCGACGGAGGTGATACGAAAAAAAGCACCTGGAAGCAGGTACAGGTACAACTTTTCTACAATGGAAAACCAAACAAAGGCGAGTAGAGGCGAGTCGAGTCGAGCTGGTACCGTGCAGTGGAAAAGGGGCTTTAGAGATTAAATGGGGTTGTGTTGGAGTAAAACTGGTAAACTGAGTGGGAAACAGCTCCTAAAATCCTTCTGCCAGTTGTAAAATTTATGAAAAAGTTAAAACATCTATGGGACAGTTTGATAAGTGGGTTGAAATGTTTTTCCTTCAAAATGTAAGTTTTAGTTTAAAAAAATATTTGGACCAGCTAAAGACATGTTTGAAGAGAAAGGAAAGGAGAGATGCAAAAGAGCATGCAGCCTTGTCCAGAAAGAAAAAAAAGAGCTGAAACCTACCATTTAGGGTAGATTGCTATATAAACTAGAATTGAGGGAATATATAAAGACTTAGAACAGAACATTTGACTAGATAAAATAAGGATAAGAAGGAAATTGTTTTTATACATATTTCCATTCTTCCGGTTGTAGTGGTGCTGGCAGGCAGACATTTCTACCTCTAAACTAAGCCAGGCTAACTGTTTCCCCTTGATTACAGTGTTTATGCTAAGCTAAGTTAGCCAGCTGGTGGCGGGAGCTTCATATTTATCGTACAGACACGTGAGTGGTATTCATTTTCTCCTCTAATTTTCTCTATCAATCTTTTCATGTAGCTCTAGGGCTGAAAGTGAATATGTCTATTTCTATAAGGATTACAACTTTAACTGAGTAGCTTTAGTTGCCCAATCTTAGTCATTATGACACAGACCTTGGTCTAAATGTAACCAAAAAGGTCCGTCGTATCATCAAAATGGAACTACTTTATATTATTAAGTGTGTAATCACTTACAATTTATATGATAAACATGAAGCTTGTTTTCAAATTTGTGCTGGCGTCACATAATCCACATTTTGAAAGAGAAAAATCAGTTGGTTTGTGTTTTTTGTGTGACTGTGAAACTGGAGAAGAGAATGGTGCTTTCCTCGCATTGACAGATAATATTAAATCACAAATGATCACAGAATGTGAAGACTTACTTTCTCACGCAGCCTCTGTTTGAGAGCATTGAGGTGAGCCTCCCGGTTCTCCTTGTTGGCCTCCATCTTCTGGATGAGCTTCTCTTCCGTCTTCTTGCTAAAGATGTTGCTCTCCTCGCGAGCCTTGTGGAGAACCTCCTGCACACGCTCCCTCTTCTCCGCCAGCTGCTTCTGCACCAGGGCCTCCTGGGACTGCAGAAGGTTGGGGGGCAGACAAAGAGTGTGGAGTCACCATAATGATGAAGGTAATTGTATCATTGGTAGTTGGGGTTGGCAGGCATTCATGACAACCAAAAGCCAAGTTCATCAAACAGAAACCAAAGAATGACAGTTTTGCCTCAAGACTAGCTAGAGTTTCCTGACAGCTTTAAAGGCTCACTGCCCTGTAGCACAAATAAACGATAACATAGGGGTAAAAATAATAACAATAATAATGGGGGTGGTGATGGTGCAGTAGATGAGATACGTGTCTCTGGTGTGGGAGACCAGGGTTTGATTCCCACAGCAACATCCACCTGTTTTTCAAAAAGTATTTTACAGTATGGCTCATGCTATTTTGAAATAAAATTCCAACACATACTCTCATATAATCCCTCAACTATTATCTGCTCTAATGACTCACTCTTTTCCTTTTACTTGGGAGACAAACTGGTTTTATGTGTACGACTGTACAACCCTATCTGCCATTATTCCTCACTTTGTGAGTAAGATTAAATTATGAATGCTGTGTCTTTGTTTCTGTTGTGCGTAACTGTCCTCTTGCACACCCTGTAAATTGTGTCCCTTCATTTCCAAGATAATTTAGACATCCATGTAGCACTTCTTTCATTTTATAGCTTGCATTGTGTTTAAACCTTCCTTTCCTGTATTTGTACAGGTACTGAAAACTCTTATTTACTCCAATCTTGTTTAATGTTGACATTGAGCTGGATGGGAAAGCACCTGTTTCCATCCCTGTCTGTACAGTGGAATACAACCATACAGCTGCTACACATCCAAAACAGCCAAAGGCACTTAAATAATTGAAATACTTAGAGAAGAAGTTGCTAAGTTTTGGTCTTCAGAATGAAAATGTTTTGACTGTGACAGACATTGTCAAGGTTACACCACTGAACAACAGGTTATAGTGTTGTAGTCAAGACCGCCCAAACCAAGACCAAGTCATGACCAAGATCAAGACCAGAGATTATCGAGACAGAGACAAGACCAAGACATTTAGAGGGCGAGACTGAGTCAAGACCAGTTCCCCACATTACATGACACACAATAAAATGTGGAACTAGATCATAGGTACTTCTCTAGTTGATCTGAAAGATCCACATTCCCATTAAAACACCCACATTGTCACATTCTGCCTGTCAGCCATGTTTAAGTTTTGGTCAGTTGAGGATCTGTTATTTTGGTCTAGTGTTTTGGGGTTCTGTCTTGTCTGTTGTCCTGTGCCCAGTCTGTGTTTATGGTGAGCTCTACTGTTTTGTTGTCCATTTGGTTCTGTGTTAATCTGTTTTTGTTCTGTTATCCTAGTCTGTTGTCTGTGTTGTCCTGTTATCTTGTCGCCCTTATCCACTTTGTATTCTTGATTCTAAGATTTGGGTTTTGCATCTACATTTTAGTTCCATTCTGTTGAATTTAGTTTACTGTGAAGTTTACTTATTGATCAGTTTGGTATCAGTTATTTAGTCTGGGTTATTATCCATCTGTCAGCTAGTGTTTAGTGGTGTTTTGGTATTTTCCTTATTTCCGTTCTGTTCATTATTGAGTATAGTCCTGTTTCCTGGTTAGTTTTGTCTCTGTTCCCTTCCACGGTCTGTGTAACAGTTGGTCCATGTTTACTGTTGGAGGTTTGTTCCTTGTCTTGTGTTCACTGTTTAGCCATGTTTATTTCATTGTTCATTCGCAGGTTCTGTTGAGCTCACCTTGTACCTGTCTGTCATGTATCTTGGGTTTAGTTCTGTGTCTTCTGTGTTTATGTCTGTGTTTAGTGTCCAGTAACCTGGGTTATGTCTGTTCCCCCAGTTATCACTCTGCCTGCCTGTCTCCCTGTTTTCCCCTGCTGTCTCTCTGCCTCGTTAGCCTTGATCCCGGGCACCTGTGTGTGCGTTTACACTCAGTTATGTTGTTTGGAAGAGTGTGCTGTCTGTCTGCTTGCCTGTTGTTTTGGATGTTCCAGAGAGCTGAAATCAACGTAAGCATCTTTATTCCACACTTCTTTTCCATGATTACCATCGTGAGGAGGGGGGACAGTCGTTAATGGTAACAACACATTTTTAATTAGGGTTATTTGTTGTATTTGAAGCAAAAAAATTTACATCCAATCAAAGTTGGGACGTTAGCAAATAAATCAGACAATGCAAAAGCAATTTGTTGAGATTCCCAAAGTTGTGGTCTTGACTTGAAAGAAAATCCCGAGTCCTCAATGACCGAGACGAGTACAAATGCGGTTGGGTCTGAGACAGGACCAAGACCATCAAATGGTCTAACAACCAGTCTCGAGACCAAGACCGGTCTTGAGTACTACAACACTACTAGGTTCTAAAGGCTAACGTAAGCAAAAACATTAGGTTTAAAATTTGAAAGCTTACTAGATACTTCTAAGAGTGTGAACTGTTGAAGAGGTTTTAAGTAACACATAAATAAATCCACACACTGCATGGTATGTTTTCTACAGCATTACAATAAAACTGTTCAGTTACTCTAAAAGAATAGTTCAAAATTCTCGGAAGTGTGCTTATTTGCCTCTGTTTCAAGGTCAAAGGGACTGAAAATGGCCAGTTAAAGAAGTAACATCATTTTGGGATTTCCATTTATTTGACTGTAAGAGAAGAAAGATATCAATCTCATGTGTCTACATAAACTTCCCATTATTCCTCCTTTGCCAGCCTTGTAGTCACATCATATAAATAGCCTCATTTTATGTATCTGGAGTGGAACAAATGAAATGGGGTACAAACAAACTGCATGTAGCTTCTGTGCTAATACATGAATTTATGTAGAACTGCCAGCAAGGCTTTGCAGCCATTTGCCACTGGTTTGTCGCCACCTTTTTGTTTTTTGCGGGAGATTATCAATTCCTGATATCTCCTAGAAGTTACAACTGGTAGGCTGACTAACAACTAACAACTCATAATTATTATGATATGACATCCTGAGTCGGCTGTCTCACTCACTTTTTAAATTGTTTTTGTCCCCTTCACTTTTATTTTCTTAAAGTCTCTAAGATTCCCTCGTGGGTGAGACCTACGAAGGACTTGTCTCTATTGGCCAGTCTCTGACTTCCATTTTGGAGAGTCCCTGGCTGTTACCTTTGGCTTACTTTAGCTAAGAAATTGACCCTATCATGACCTGGGGAAACCTGTGTCATACTACCCCTAAATTCCTTCACACTATCATTATCATTGAAGGCACAACACAATAACCAATTTAATTATAATCTGTCTGCTCGATTGATTTAAACATAAATAAATACCACTTGTGCCCCTCCCACTTCTGAAACCAAACCTATGCGCTTGGCTGGAACTATTTATATATACTACAACATGTACAGTCAGAGACCAAAACCAACTCTTGGGCTCACTGATTGTATCTGAGCTATAGCTAGGGATGCTACACAGAAGTGCTGTGTGATGGAGAAACTGTTTTTTGCTAAGAAATTGTTCCAGCACTAGAAGTCCCCCAATCACAAGTGGTAATTTATTTGCAGTGAATGAACAAATAAAATACATCTTAATTAGTGAGTTTTTGATTAACTTCAGATACAGCCAGGATAGCTGTTTCCCCATCTATTCTAAATTTCCCAATGAGTTTGTTTTAAAATCACTGAAACTATATCAACACTGAAACACTCCACTGAACGTGGGAAAACCACACCCATACATTGTGTGGCCCCCAGAGTTCAGTGATCACTGCGATCAGTGTAAAAACAGCTTATCAAGTTTTTAAAAAATTTGTATTCACCAAATTAAGAGCATAATTTAGTTTAATGAAAACACATAGGAGCTATTATTGAATAGGGTGATTAATATAACAAATGTTTATATCTATGGGAAACAATTTACAGAATATTATCAACTAGCAATGAAAGGAGGTTGATGTGGTGAAATGAGTTTATTGTGGCTCAATGCTGATTAATTGCCAAACTAAATAAAATAAAAGCATTACCAGCGGTGAGATGACCCATCTGCTTACCTTCCTCCTCTCCTCAGCGGCCTCCAGCCTCCTCTGGAGATCCTCCAGGGACACCTCCCTTCTTGGGGGGGAGGGCAGCTGCTGAGGCTGGCTTTTGTCTCCGGACAGATCAGCATCCTTCAGGATCACCTCAAATGACTGGCCAGATGCTCTCTTGTTAAAACCCTTCACCTCCAGGTCTGACACAGCCAGAATCCAGTCCACACACCAACAATGAAGAACAAATTAGTCTAATTTCTGCCAGGAGCAAGTTTCCTTGCTTGCGTTCTCATATATCAGAGAGATGGGATGTATCTTATGACTGTGTCTCAGCATTGCTTTTAAAAATACAGTAATTGGGGGGGACCCTGGTGGCTTAAGGGTTTAAGGCACTAACCATGAACATTACTAGGTCATGTTCAGACAGAGATGTCATTCCCTATCTGATTTTAGGGCCAGTCTCTGATTTAACATTAGTCAACATTAGTTAGTTCCAGGGACTTTGTTCATGGGGGATGGCTTATCTGCTGTTGGCTGTCATTTTCTGTAAACTTACATTCTGTTAGATGAAAAGCTTTTTAATATCATTTTATAAATAAAGGCGTAAGTAAACTAAGCAGATACTTTAGTTTACCACCCAGAAGCCCCCCCCACACACACACACTCTATGTGGGGTGCACCACACCTTAGATTCTGTTTAGGCCCTGAAAAGGCCTTTTGGTATTTTATGATCAATTTATACTGCCTGACACAGGTTCACACTAAATTAGGAGACAAAGATTCAAGAGACAAAACTAAAGTTACAAAAGTGGACTTTACAGCAGAGCATAACAAAGGAACATGAACATAATCTTAAGTAAAAAAAAAAAAGACAAAAGGAAATTTGGACATGTAGGAGAGACAGTAAATCAAACACAACTGACTTTTCTTGTTCATTATGTAATATGTACCTGTCAGTGTTATGATAAAAAAAACAAACAAGTAAATCCGGTAAGAGGTGAAGCCAAGGCCTTAAATTAGATGGCTGACACATGCAACATGAGACCCACAATATGTCAGACAGGTAGACAAACCGGCTCGCACACAGACTGACTGACAGGCGGGCAGACAGACTGACCTCCATACTGATAAAGGCTGTTGGGATGTGGCTGTGTGTAGAAGCAGGAGCAGAGCAGAGACAGCATGGACATCTCCTTGATCTTGTCGGTGTAGGCTGTTACAGAGAGATAAAATAAAAACATTATCACATCTAAAATCCTGCAAATGCATTGGGACATAATAAAACGTGAGTCCCCTCTGTGGGGAATTTGTTTAGGCTAATAAAACGGTAGAAAACACTGAAATGGATGTCTTTAAACAACACAAAGAAAATCTGGAGAAAACCTGCCAGGTCTGGAGGTCCCAGGGGCTGGTTTGCCCACGTTTCACCAGCAGGTTTCTCTATATTACTGTATCTATTTAGCCTGGGAACAACAAATATTCAGAGCTCATGTTTCATTTGCTCTGGCTGATACGTTTATCCCCGTCCCCCCTCAGACAGATTTCCACCTGAATTTGATAGGTCCAAGCCAATCGCAACCGTTTATCTAATATGGGCTGGGTTTGATACTATGTCTCACCGAGGAGCGTCCCCAGATTTGAAAAATCATACCTCACACATTTCGCTGTTCTGATTGTTTACAGGTCCGGACCTACAACCAATCATTTGCATGTCCTTACATTTACTGGAAAATCTTCAGGGTATGTTTGTATGTGTATATATGTACTAAACATAACCCTTTCTGTTAACTTAGAAATCAGTTCAAAAACTTCTTCCCAGAAGCTTCTGAAACTTGCACAGCAAAGACTGCATTCACCACAACTCTTCCCAGCCTGGCTCATCCACAACCAACACAATCGCCAGCTAACAAAGTAGCACACCAAGGAACCCCTCTCCCTACTGGTCAACTGGTAACTGGAATACCTGGCTAGCATAGCGTGATGGTGTACACGAATAAGCACAGGACTGCTTAACTTTTGTCAATGTAGATGTATTGATTTGGTTAATTCGCTGAGCTTGATACAAAACATCACAGAGATCCTGACATGATCATCTTAGGTAGGTTTATTGTCCCAATATAAGAAGTTAGAGTGAAACTGAGTTTTGTAACTCCCTTCTGCTAATAGCAGACAATAAACATTAATAAAGCAGCAATTATGAAAAATGGTAAATCTATATCTCTTCCCAGAAGGCAGCAGGGTGAACAGGCTGTGGCTGGGTGGGTACTGTCCTTTAGTATCCTTTGGGCTCTGCAGGCAACTCAGCGATATCACTGATGCTCAGGAGATGGGTACCAATGATCTTCTGAGCAGTTTGAATCACCTGCTGCAGAGCCCTCCGGTCCTGGGCCGTGCACATCCCATGTTAGTGATGTTTCCAGTCAGGATGCTTTCTGTTGCTCCTCTGTAAAAGCTGACAAGAACTTGGCACGGGAATTTGGCCTTCTTAAGCTTCCTCAAGAAATGCAGTCGTTTTTGAGTTTTCTTCACCAGCGTGATGTGAGATGACCATATCAGGTTCTCTGTTATGCTGATTCCCAGGATGCTGATCTTACATCTCCACACTGGTGAAGCTCAGAAATGAAACCCAAGAAAGCAACATTTCCATGCCAAGTTCTCGTCAAATTTTGCAGAGGAGCAATAAAATGTCCCCAGCTCTTAAACTTATTTTAGCTGGTCATAATATTTTCATCTAGTTCCCGTCATTTTAGATTCCAGTTCCTCCTCCTGCTTGGTCATCACCTCACTCCCTTCACCTGGCCGCCTAGCTCCTCACCTGTAGCTCATCCTGCACTAGTTGTTTGCCAGATTGTCTAGAGTCTTTTGTTTAGAATTGGAGCGTTCCATGGTTAGTTTATTTTGACCCTCTTTGCCTATTTCCCAGACCTTTCTTCTGCCATTTGGATTTGTTCTTTCTCTAGAACTGCTTACCTGGTATTGTGACCCCCCCTGCCCGACTATGATAAACTAAACTTGTCTTGCATCGCTGTCTTTGAGTTTTGCTTCTGGGTTCACGCCTGTTTTGTTTTTATTCTAAAACATGACAGTACAATCTGACCAAAGATTGTAGGAGGAAAAACCCTCAGACCGGGCCAGAGGCCTAACGGGCCCTCACTTTCTGTCTGTTGGGCGGCTGTGGCTCAGGAGGTAGAGCGGGTTGTCTGTTAATCGTGAAGGTTGGCGGTTCAATCCCTGGCTCCTCCAGGCTGCATGTTGTAGTGTGTGAATGTTAGTTTCTGTTTGAGCACTTAGGCGAATGTGACTGGTGAATTCTGATGTAGTGTAAAAGTTTGAGTGGTTGAAAAGATTAGAAAGGTGCTAAACAAATACGGAGCATTTACTCTCACACATCATACTCTTGGATGTAACTTAGACTTACTGTTGTCCTTTCAGTATAAACTGTATTCTTTTCAATGAGACACAGATTCCAGTAAAGTTCAAATGAACTCAAGATTAGTGACAATTGCAAGCAAAATAAACAAATACATTAAATCAACGTGTATCTGAGCTGGCTCCGGGAGCAGACCCCTCAAACTCAGTATTGCATTGGTTAATATGTTTGGCTCCTCCTCTTGTGGGTCTTTATGGTAAGACCCACCTTTTCCACCTTCACACACATTCCATATTACAACAGTAGTGCATTCCACCCTGCAACACTTCGAAAGAAATAAGACATCATCTTGATTTTTAGCAAAAAGTGTATGCATAACACAAAAGAGTTGACATCAACACAAGTGCAGGTTCGTGTTCTGTGTACTGTATCACACAATGACCTTCACAGCCTTCAGAGTTGCACTCCACTTGCAAAGGTCCATTGTATTCATGTGTCTAGTCTAATTCATGGTGTTTACCCTAACTTAACCTCCATCCAATTAGCAACACTGTTAGACCGGCCAGGTGTATGTGTCCTTGTACAATGAGAAGTGTGTGTGTTCTTGTGAAGTTTGAAGTCTGTGTCTTCCAACAAAATTGTGAAGGCTGTAGCCTGAGAGCAACAGAAATAAAATAAAATATGCAGGCATCATGGCTAAACAAAAAAAAATCTTCAAGGTGAACCCATCAACCCTGATAATCTGCAGAGCAAATTTACGTCTCAAGTTGAAGCACAGAAGGGAGAGGGTCTGCTCTCCCATCTTTCCAGTATGGTCTCTGCTGGACATGTCACTAGCTTCACAGTTGGGTATTAGTCGGGAGGCGTTGGAGAAACCAATTCATGCCACCGCATTTGACAGCCGTCTTCTCTGCAAGTTTTCTCATTGGCCATCACCTGTCCAGTTGAGGGACATACCACAGCCTGTCCATCAGCTGTAAAAGCCATGAGAGTAGAAAGGCCACGATTCGGTGAATTAACGTTACAACACTAATATTAGCCATCGATCAAGTTAAGCTAAAAGGTATGTATATTGTTGCCAAAGCAAATGTAAAATAAAAGCAAATAAAATCTATCGATAAATAGAGACCCCAAATAGATCTGATATCTACATCTGTATATGGGGCACAATGCACTTTCTCCAAGTTGCACTGCCATAGTGTGACATTACCTGCAGTCCCAGGACCCCTGTCAAAATCCGCTAGAGGTTTCATAGGGTTAGCCGCTAGCTATAAATCTCGAGATGACGTTAGCAACTTACTAGATAACATAAGTGTGCTTGTGTAGGTTGCTGTCTAGCTTTGTTGGCTAGCTTGCTGCACAAGTTTCAAGCAACATTATGCCATTGGTGGAGAGCGGTGCTGGCGTCAAGCCCGAGCTTGGCAAGCAGGAAACATATCCAGGCTCAGCGGCCTCTATGGACATAACATTAGCTAATGGCAGAAGCAAAGAGACAGAATAAGACGTTGACGAAGAAGCTGAGAAAAAGAGAGTGGCCAAGTAAAAGGCTGTTAGCGTGAGCTTTTTGAAATTAAAGGCTGCAAGAAATATGCCGAGCTTGCATTCTTTCTGTGTACACAGTTAGAATTGTAAAAAGTAATTTTGCTATGTCTTGTGTTTTCACAATTGTGTGATGTTTGTGTTAGCAAAGTTGTCGACTAGTTTTTCATCAAAATGTAATCTTAACAAATGCTCATGTACAGCTGTCTGTATTTAGGACAGAGGTGAAGTCCATAATGTTGCTTTAGATTATTCAAATAAATACTCATTACAAATACTCATTACTCCTCATAGTAGGAAGTGAGTGTAAATCTGCTACTTCCCTCATAATGCATTTTTAAGCTTTTGCACCTACACTGTAACAGTTTGCATCAGGTGTTAATTGTTTGGGTTTGAGCCAAATGGCATGTTTCCTGCGAGTCCTACAGAGATGTCTATCTGAAGCTTGTTCTTCCATGTAGATGGATAAGAAAGGAAGTTTTGTTTAGAACCTGTTAGTAATGGATCATAAAACATGGAGAACTCACTCATGTAAATGTCAACAACCCCCTTCTGTGAAATCTGCTGTAACATCTGGTTTGAGTACGATCGTGGTTTGGAGTTACCCTGACCTTTGGTGTGGATGGGTGTTCCTGTTGTGTTTTGGATTTGCCTGTCTATTTGTTCCCTCTTTGTGACTGATCCCTGGGTGGGACACCGGTCCTCACCTGCTGCCATTTATACACCTGCTGCCGATCTGTCTGTCTGTGTTCGGTTGTGCTGTGACTGGATGTACAGTGTATCAGTGCCTCTGAAGGATTTACATGTCCTCCACAGAGCCTGTGTATCAGCTGTCTCTATACTTTTATCCCTTTGTGTTATGTGAACAACGGGCACTCTGTTGAAGTAGAAACTTCTGAAACTCATGACAGCTGTGCATGTGTTCAGTTATTACTGGCTAATACTGTTCTTGGTACAGTGAAAAGTGCTGAAGACATGCAAACCTTCAGGTCATCATGTGAGCGTTCAGTTCATCATCAGTGCTAAACAGAGTACAGAGCAGGGCACATGTTATAAATATCAATATTTGTTCCTAAAAACTTAGAAAGTAGAAAGAAACCAAAGAGACCACACAATCGTAATTGAAGTAAATAATAGAACATTTCAAAAAAGTTTTGATTGGCTTTGCTCAGCTTTAAAATGTATACAGTGATAGCAAATCATGCTGATTGGCTGATGTCAGCTATGATGTTTTAGACCTAAATACCTAAATCCTACCTGGGAACATTAGGGCAAGGACAGTTTCATTCAAATAAGGCTCATTA